ACAACGGGAAGGAGGAGAGGTTTAACTTGACTCACAAATCAGGAGAGTCAGTCCATGGCTAGTTGGCTCCAAGGCAGAAATTGCATAGTGGAAAGGCCTGACAGAGGAAAGCAGTTCATCTCATGGTAACCAGGAAGTAGACTGAGAAGGGAGGAGGCAGGATCAGGAATACACTCTTGCAGGTCACACCCCAGCAGCCACCTCTTCTGACCAGGCTCGCCCTGCTAACAGCTCATTGAGCTCTGATGTCATCAATGGATATCCACAGATGAGCACAGCTCCCCCACAATCCATTACCACAGCAAAGACCTACCTCTGAACAGGTGAGGCTTTTGAGGGGCCTTCTAGACCTAAACCATAGCATTTAACAGTTGAAACCTCTAAAAATTGTAGAAAGAAACAAATTCCCACTGAGGATTTAATTGGCTACTTTAATAGTTTTCTATGTGTCCTGTGTTTTACATACATTGATGCTAAGCATACTGTATGAGAAAGTTTGCCAAGCTGGGTATTGAAGCCCAGGTTTATCTGACTGCAGACACAATTACCATATCATGCTGCTGCAGAGTGCTTTCAGATAACACAGGCCAGGGTGGGTTTACACCGGGGAGACGAGACCAAAACCACTGAAACATTCAAATGACAGTGACATATGTGGAGGTGAAAATAAGACTGGCCTATAAGGGAGATTCTATAATAAGAGATCTTAAAAATAGTATCAAATTTTCTTGACTCCATTAGGAATTACATGAGGGCTGTTGCTAAAGACCTGACTACAACAGCTTGAAGGAATTAGAAGTACATTATCCTCCCTAAATGAAGGCTGGCTTGCAGGAAGTCTACGGTTGCTAAGCAACTCCTCAGCGTCATAAGGGCCTGAGGCTTTTTTCCATCTTTCTTTACCATTCGGTATACGAATTCAGTTATGTCAAAAAATTGCTGCTGGGTTCAAGCCATCACAGGCACATTCCAAGCAGGGAGAAGAAGGGAAGGAGAAAGGGAGACAAGTGGCTTTCACAGAAGCCCTACTTAGTTAGCTCATCTCTGATTGCCTCATGTGCAGAACCTGGGAGCCTCAAGTTCCTTGTTCAGTTTACTGTCCAGCATTCTGGTGTCAAGAAAGATGCAGTGTAAATTACAATGCCTGCAAGTGTAATTACAAAATTTGGAAACAACACTGACAATCATCTGAGGTTGAAGAAAGTGACAGTGAGTGCCTGGTGTGTAGAGAGGCTGGGGAGAATCTCAGGAACAAAACTGGCCAATGGGAAAGACAGCTAGGGAGAGAAGGAGATGCTGAGGGTTCTAACCTGATTAAACCTGAGGTGAGTGACTTTTCTAGGCAGGAGCAATAGATTTGGGAGTGTTATGAAATCTACTTGCAATATACTAACTTTAAGGCACCTGCTAACATTTGTACAGTATGAAATATTTAACTTAATTTTGCCACTCACTTGCTAAGATGTTTGTTCAAACTGTAGTGAAGGGAAAAGTAGCATGAAAACATGTTTTGAGCTTTTTGTCTAGAAATACAGGTTGTTTTGAACTAGTTGTTCATCCCAGTGTGAAACCTATCTTTAGCATCATGGACTGGATTTTTTGTAAGCAAATTGTTTTCCAGACATAACACCACTGCAACACAGGATAACACAGATAACTAACCAGAAACCCAAAATATAAAGAGCAAAGTAAAAGATAGAAAACAAAGGGAAGAGACCAACAGATGGAGAGTGAAAGGGGGGAAGGGAATGAGAAAGAATTAAGATGTGTTATACACAGGCACCAAGTCCCAAAGGAATAGAATCATTACTTACCACAAACATGTACTAATATAAAAACTGAAAAATAAAGTTAAGTAGGGTTCTACTGGGGCTATAGCTAGTGGTAAAGCATATGCTTAGCTTGCCAGAGGCTATGGGTTCCATCCCAGCTCATATACACACACACACACACACACACACACAGGTCACCAGAGTTTCACTGTTCAGGGGAAATTCTCTTCGTGTTATCTTGGGAAATAGTAGGTTTTTTGTTTTTGTTTTTTTTTTTAGTTAACAGGATCAAAGTAATCAGTTTTGCTGTGCCGTCCTGGGAAACACAACTCCTGTGGGATTGTTGCTACCTTGAAAGACTACTTTGGAGACCAGGGATCAGGTATAACTAAGTGAACAACAGTTGGTCACCAAGAGCCTGTACAGTTTTAGATTCTGGAAAAAAGACCTGCTGATGCCATTATCATGAAGATGAAGAATATTTTAGATGTATGTATTAATCACTTAGGCCTGCGTTATACCCTATGAGAGCTTACCAGGCTGTGATGGTTGATACAGGAGTCTGGAAGGTTAACAAAGTAACTCAGCAGTCTACACCCAGGGGTGAAAAGGACAAGCCCTTCCTGCTCTAGGATGTTCACTGTGTCTTGAAAAGTTTCGAAGGTTAACTACGTGGCTCAGCAGGGGGCCAGGGCCATTACTTTGTATTCATCCTGAGCCTGTGCAAGAGAAGGCATGGAGATTATGTGAGTGCTACACCCCACTCGGTGCGGGTAGCCTGCTGACAGTATAAGGCAGGAAAAGAGGATTACTTCCCACCCTTTGTGCTCTTGCTGATTTTGCTGTCTTCTGCCACCCTGGATTATTTCCATGTGCTATGCCACCCTTTCTTGGAGCCAGCTGATTGCAGATTAAAACCTCCACAAGCTGTGGGCTAAATAAACCTTTCCTTCCTTAATTTGGGGTGTCAGGTATTTTGTCTCAGCTACAACAGAAAGGTAACCAAGAAGAGAAAATGGGGACACAAAGAGATGAAATAAAGTGCCTCAAGTGACATGCTACTGAATCTGAATTTTTAAAAAATTTTATTTTACAGAAAAAAAAAAACAAAATTTCAAAACAAGATAATAGAAGAATAACAAGGCACTGGGTATTGTTATCCTTAGTTACTCAGAGTACAAGATATAGGCATTTAACTGTCTAAGCCATATTAGTACAAACCTTTCTTTTCAATGAACTAAGAGAAATTAGTAGTTTATCTTAACTATCATATATATATTTATATACTTACATAAAATATATAACTATATAATATATAAATTATAATAAATTATATATTTTGCTTTTCCCTTCCTTTTCTTCCCTCCATCCCAATATCTCTTTCCTTTTCAATAGTTTCTTCCCATTTTACAATATCTATTGTACATTTTGGATCTCATTTTTCTGTTTCTCACACTAGGGAGACAATATCTTTAAACATGTGAGTATGGTTTTTTCACTTGAATTGCATTCATTTACCTATAAAAGTCTCAAGTCTATCCTTCTTTATGGCTCAGTAGTACTCCATTGTATAAAAAGACATTTTAATCCATTCCTCAACTGATAGGCATTTGGGTTGTTTCCAAGATTTAGCTATTACAAATTGTGCTGCTATAAACATGAGCGCACATATATCACTGTGGCATGATGCTTTTAATTCTTCTGGGAAGACACCAAGAAGGTAACTAAGTCGGTCAAACGGGACCTCCAAATCCTAGTGTTTTGAAGAATCTCCACACTGATCTACATAGCCGTTGCAACAGTCTACACTCCCACCAAGAGTGGAGAAGGTTCATTTTCTCCCCATAGCCCCACCAGCAATTCCTAACGGTTGATTTCTTGATGACAGTCACTTCTTTCCGCGTGAGATGGAATCTCAGTGTTGTTTTAACTTGCATGACCAGTGATGGTGAGCCACTTTTCATATATTTATTTGCTGTTCGTATTTCTTCACCTGAGAAGTATTTATCCATCTCAATGCCCATTTTTGGATTGGGTCTTTAAATTTAGGAGGTTTGATTTTTTTAGGTCTTTATATAGTGAACTGGAATTTCAACTGTTAGAAACGCTGGCTTCAGAGTTTATGATCCTATCCGTTGAACTTTGCCTCTTATTAAACATGTGAAGGAAGTGGTAACTTTAAATTGATTTAACTGGATTAGCCCTGAAAGTCTGGAAACGGAAATTTTACCCGTGGAAATGTATCTTTCCCTATTTTGGAGGATAGTTTCCACTTGATGAGATTTCATATTTCAGTAAATACAATAATGTGATTTGTACCCCTTAAGATCAGCTGAGTAGGCGGTCCAGGTCTCCCTGTGGCTCAGACTTTGACTCAAGCAGCCTAAGTTAGCGGAGTCCACCACCTCTTGGCGCAAATGCCTTGCGTATTAAGCAGGTACATAATGCCACCTGAAAAGTGGTGTTAGGGTTATCGAGGGCGGACGAAGTGCTTAACAGTCTCCTGCGTAAGCATTTGGTCATAATTATGCTTCCGGTAGACTTTTTTGCTCACTAAATCTGCCAATTTAAATGCCACGGTGTGGCCGTAAAACCCGGGGACTGGGCTGAGAAAGGCGCTGAGTGGGCTTTCTCCAGCAGCTCCCGCGATTTACCCTCTCCCGAGCCCTGCGTGAGCTGCGGGGGGACGAAGGGTGTCGCCGGGTGAAGGGGCGCGAGGCGGGGGGGTGTTTTCCCACGGCGCTTTCCTCGCAGTATACATGACAAACACTGAGCCGAACTCCAAAGCGTCGCCTAGGTTAGAAAGAGGTGTACGCGCTCTTGACCAGGAAACAGGGACACAGACACAGGGTGCAAAACGCTGCAGAGAGGAAAGGCGTGCTATGCTAGCAACTCAGTCAGCGCCCCCTACTCTCACCCGGGCGAATTGGTCTTCATGGCGGAGACCTGAGCTTCTCTCCCGCCGGAAGCGGCCCCAGAGAGCCCGCGCAGCCGCACCTGAAGCATGTTCCATTCTCCTTTCGTGTAGACACGCCCCTTTCACTTTGACCACGCCCCCGGAGCGCTTTGTCGCACAGACAATATCGCGAGAACTGTACGTGCCTCCCTTCGACGTGTTCACTGGTGATAGTCGGTTTTGTTCTCGCGATACTTCTGGGTGCACTGGAACCCGGCGGCCCGGGCTTGAAATATGGCGGCCGGCTGGGACCGTAACACAAGGTAAAACACTGAAACCGCCCTCGGTTCTGGTCCCTCGGTTGTTGAGGACTGCCCCTGGCGTGAATGCGGCTGAGGGGGCGGAGAGGCTGGTGTTGCTCCCAGGCCTTGTCGGAGCCGCTCCGCCTCCCGGGGGCGTTCCTGGCCGAAGAGCGGGCCCCGCTGGGGCCGGGGCGCCCCTCGCCGGGTCCAGGAGTCTCGGAGCCGCCCTGCGCCCACGGGCTCCCCCGACAGCGCCCGCACCCTGGCCCCACATTTTCACGGTGCCGGGGCGGATCCTGACCGCAGGCAGGTGGGTCCGGGCCGTGTCCCGCCTCGGGCGCCTGGCCCCTGCTTCTCTCGGGCAGACCCACTTTCCCTGCCGCAAGGTGCTTTCTGTCGGAAGGAGGAGGGCTCGGCCCGCCTGCGCACGCGTCTGGGCGAGGAGGGCGGCGGGGCGGCGCCGGTCCGGGGTCCCTGCCCTTCTCACCTCGAGAGACCCGCGGAGGTCGCTTGCGGACCTCGGGGAGAGCAGCCGGGGCATCGGTCGGTGGCGTGTAGAGCTGGTAGATCGTTGCAGAAAACACGGTTACTTTTGTACTGAGCAGCTAGTGCCCTCGAGACTGGGGGCAGAGTAACAACAGCTGTTAAAATGCTGCAAGCCTGGCTTTCACGAACAGTTAAGATACAGTTAAAACAAGGTTTCACCGAAGTTGTATTCCCATTGTTTCAGTGAGTTGCGTTGCCTCCTATCTTGAACTCTGGGATACAGACCTAAACAAATGAGCCTGGCTGGTTCGCTGAAGTTAATGTAGCTAGTCCAGTTCTCTTAGAGGAGAAACAAATTTTATGTTTTTGTAGGTGGGCGGGTAAATGGGACAAGAAAAGTTTCTTTTTGATAGTAAATTTTAGTACACAACTGAGTTTTGTAATGATATATGAAGTTTTTAAAATTTCCCAAGGGATCAACAAAGAATTAAGAAAAACTCTCCAGGAATTTCTTTTCTCTAGCAGTTAGTGATTTAAATGGAAGAAAAAAAGAAATTCATTTTTAATAGAAGTTACTTGTAGTCGGGCATGATGGTACATCCTTGTATTCCCAGTACTGTGGGAGGCTGAGGCAAGAGGATGATAAGTTTTGGCAATTTAGCGACTTAGCGAGACTCTTATCTCAAAATAAAAATTAAAAAGGGCTGGGAGTGTGGGGCTGGGGATGTAGTCAGTTCACAGTACAGAAAAAAGTTATTTTGTCTATTCCTGCAATAAATTTTACTTGATGATTTTCCAGCACTATTTTAGTTCTGCAGTAATACACTAATACCTGACTCATACTGAGGTTGTACAATTAAATTAAAACTTGCAAAGCATTTAGAACAGTACCGTACCTGTTTCCGTACAGTCAGCTTAGTTAGCTTGCTGTATGTTTTTTTAAATTTTCATTTTCGGAATTCTTTAGTTGCAAATGTTACGGTGTGTGAAAATGTAGACTGAAGAAGATAATTTCTTTCTAACCCCCCGAATTGAGTAAACGCTCTGAAGAGTGTTTGATTAATATGTCCTTGAACTCTTGGCTTCCAATTGCTGTTATTCTCTCTTAACTTACTAAAGCTCAAATGCTTTATTTCTACCTCTCCCTGTAGCCTTCTTGCTGTCGAGGTCAGTTCTATGCCTCTAGGTTTCCAGTTAATCCAGAATCTTGCTTTTGAGATCATTCATTCTATTTTACACTTATGTCTCATTGACCTTTTTTTCTCATGCTTTGTTCCTTATACTTCCTTGCTTTAATTTTATGCACATTTCTTGAGTAGCTGCTACAGTCAAGTCATCCTGTGAGGACTTACACCTGTCCTTGTTTCCTCTTGCTACCAGGCACTTCTGTATTTTATTGCTATGACTACAGTTTCTTTCTCTTAATTTTCATTCTTTTAGTGAATAACCCTCCTTACACTGTGAGATTACCAGTTAACCTCAGATACTTTACCACTAAATCTTAAATACCTTACAAATCTTTGCCTTTCTTGGAAAGAGCAAACAGGTATTTACTAATTTATTAAATTAGAAAATAAATATTTAGTAAATGAAAACAAATTTCATTTTTATACTCATTAAAAACTATGAGGTAGCCATTATTTTCTCCTCCCCCCGCTCCCCCTCCCATTTAAAATAAAATTATATAAGGGATCTTGAGAGGTTGAGGGTCTTTCCAAATTTGTTACATAACTGTTAAGTGCCTAGATAATCTAGTTTTTTCTAATGACAGAACTCACCATTTATACCATCTCACTTGGTTTCCAAAGAAACCTTTTTATTACAGAAAGTTACGAGATTTATTTGAATTATTTTGGACAAACTTCAAGCAGCATTTAACTCTTATAAGGGGGTCCAAATTTTAAACTAAAACAGTTTAAGTACATTTTTATTTTTATTTTTTGCATATTCAGTGTTTGTAAAGTGAGACTAGGTGTTTTGCAAGGTCTTACTATGTGATTGAGGCTGGCCTTGAACTCCCTTTGTAGCCCAGGCTGCCCTAAAATTAATGGTGATCCTCCTGTTTCAGCTTCCTGAGTGAGTGCTGGGTTTATATGGGTGTGCTGCCTCCACATGTGGCTCATAAACTGTTTTACAAAGTGGTTTTTATTGTGATATTTGAATGCTGCATAGTTAGGTAATTATATTTATAGATAGTTTGTGGTTTTACTTTCATTTCTGCAATTCAGTGATGGCCTGAATAGTATTTATCTCCTTACTCGTTCTAGTTAATGGCATGTATTAGTCCCCTGCGGCTGCCTTAACAATTACCGTAACTGGAACGAGCATTAATACTATCACACTATTGGAGGCTGGAAGTCCAAAACCAATGTGGTGATGGGCCATGCTCACTCTGGAGGCTCTGTAAAAGAATCCTTCCTTGCCTCTTCCTAGCTCCTTGGCAGTTCTGGTAGATGCACCCCTCTGACCTCTGTCTTCATGTGGCCTTTCCCTGTGTGTCTTCTTGTCTTCATGTGGTCATCTTTTAGGGCTCCAGTCTTTAGATTTTGTATCACTCTAATCCAGTATGATTTCATCTGAATTGTAGCCGCAAACACCAAGATATTTCTGAAGAAGGCCCATTCACAGATGCCTTCGGTTAGGACTTCAGCATATCTTTTGGGGGACACAGTTCTGCCCCCAACGTGGCCATATGTGTTAACTAATTAAATATGTCTCATTACCAAATATATATTATAAATAGAAGTGATGGATAAATTGTCTCTGTTTTGGTTGTTTTAAACTTAATTGAGCAGATTGTAAAAAGTTCACGAATTCTTTAATTTTGGCAAAGCATCTGGTAGTCTCATATTCAGATGAATGCAGTGACAAGATACCAGTGACACTACTTATGTTACCAGTGTCTGTATTCCTCTTGATGGAGGGGGTTTCTTATTTCTTATAGAGTTATTCAAAGTGTCACCCTGGCCTAGTTGTGCCTGATGACTTCCTTGACAATTTAGGGCTGCCAGTAAAAAAACAGACGTGGTGCTGGTGATTGTTAAGGTAGAAGTAGCAGCTAGAACTGACAAAGGATTTGGGCACAGTGACCCGTAAATTTTCTGATTTTGTGGACCAACCTGAAAAAATATATAGGGAAAAACAAACAACAGGAAAGGCCTGAGTTTGAGGACTGATACAGAATTACAGTTTTCAATTTACTAAGGATATCTAAAAACAAAACACTAAAAACCTCTATTATTAAAAACCTGTTATTTTTGTCATCTCATAAAGGAAAGGACATTTTGATGCAAATAAGAAAGAAATAATCTCAGGATAGAAGACGGAGTTTTAAATTGGTAAGTTTTTAAAAAGTTTCCTCCCCTGTCCTCACTGTTCTCATTTAGGTAGAGATAGAAATGTGTGGTGGTGTCTTTTGGGAAACATTGGCCTTGTCATTCCTAAGTGAGTACATTTTTAAAAATTTGCTGACCAAAGAAGCAAATAGAGTGGGTATGGAGCAATGGAATGGACTGGCTGGGAGGGCCCAAGGTTTGAGCACCCTGGTGAACATGAAGAACGTGAAGGGTAGTTGTTTCAGTTTGGAGAGGAAAATGATGTTTTGGGTTTTTGATGTGTAGCGGTTTTTGAGAATTGAGAGGAGCCAAGAGATAGTCCTGCTTGAGTATAGAATGAAGATGGAGTTCTTGGAACAGAAGAACTGTTAAGCTTATGTGACACCAAGATTTTGCTGTGAATGAATGCCGTGGGATCGTGAGTTCTAAGGATGCTGATAGAACAGGGAAGAGGAGGAACATACAAGTATTGATAGCCATATGCTGAAGTCATTAAGGAAATTATGAATACATCCGGATGTCGTTGGAAGTTGGCAGTGGGTCCTGAGCTACTCCATGAAGCACATACTATTTTTATTCCCACTTAGAGACGTGGAGCCAGGCATGGTGGTGCATGAGTGTAATTCCAGTACTCAGGAGGCTGAGGCAGGAGGATTGCCATGAGTTCAAGACCAGCTTGGGCTACATAGATCAAGGCCAGCCTGAACTAATAGTGAGACCCTGGCTCACAAAAATAAAGTTCTTTAAATCATACGTGAAAGTTACCTATACTTCTAACTGTGCTGTGTCTGTGTGTTAACTATTAATAGCATAAGGTAGACTTGAGAAGGGAAGAAATGACTGAGAAGTATGATAAAGCACATTGCCTTTTTACACTGTGGGTCTCAGAAGTGAAGATTGGAAAGGAATTCCCACCAGGAGGTCAGGTTTCATAAAGAGAGCAGGTAGGGCATTACTTTTAAAAACACTAGAAGTTGTTGAATGACTTACGTGTAAGTGGTGGCTTTATAGAGTGTTAAGTCTTAGAATGAGTTTCTTGGACATTAGTGAGCTTTTAGGAATAGATGGGAAGATTATCAGTGGCAGGTGCTTACTTCTAGAATGACAGTCATGGGACAGGAATGAAGTAGGATTTCCAAGCAGGAGTGCCACATAAGTTGTGTGCGGTCTCAGAGCAGTGGTAGTGATCTTTTGGTACTTGTGGTCTTTTTTTTTATGACAAAAGATGTTAATGTGTGAGTTGTTTTTTCTAAACTAAAACCTCGATATTCAGACATAATTGCCATGGTGGCACTTTGCAATAAATAAGTGAGCTTTGGGTTGCATTTTGGGGACTCATCTCTGAAAGGTTTGCCATCACTGTAAGAGTGTTTATAAAAACTAGTTAACTACTGACCATATTTTTATGATTATATATAATTTTAAAGAAAATGTTTATGAAAATACAACATTTTAGAAACTTTTGGAAGTAGAACTCACTATTTTCTAAATTTGCTGAATAGTACTATAGAAATTTCTTTTCAGCTACTATTCTAGGTGCTGGGGTTAGTGTAGCAAGCAAAATAGGAAAACCCACCTCCTCATGAATCTTACATGGTGTATATTTACTTATGTGTGACAGTTTGTTGTGATTTGAAATCTGTGCTGCTGTGGGTGTTTCTGGGGAGATTTCCTTCCTTCCCTCAACAAATATTTACTGAATACCTTTGTGCCAGGCATTGGAATTACAGAGATCAACCTAGACGTGATTCCTGCCCTAACAAACAAGTGGAGAAAAAGGAAATGAAACCAGCAGTTACAGGCAGTGTGAGAAGGCCTCAGTGTTCTAGAGCACATAGGTTTTGGGGTGACAGAGCGTTTTCCCTCTCAAGACAGAGATGAGTATCCAGGGAGTGGAAGTAGAGCTAGGTAAGTGAGAAGTGGGCATGGGGATAGGGACTATCTCTGGCAGAGAGCAGCATATTTAAAGATTTTAAATTGATGTTGTAGCTAGAACTTAGACTGTGAGGGGTTGGGTTTGAAGAAAAGTAACCAGAACTTGGGCTTGAAGGACTTTCAAAAACATGCTGTAATAGAGCATGGTACTCGTAAGTGCAGTGGGATTTATGTAGTAAAGATAATTCATAGGAACATGGAGAGCAAATCAGGGGTTTAAAGATAAGAAGTTTTTGAAACATGCAGTTACAGATTTTGGCAGTTGAGCCTGTGCGTCTGGTAAAGGATTTCTCTTTGGATGCTGAAGAAGAGAGGACTACTTGAGAGAAATGTAGGAAAAGGCAAAGTCTGTGGATATAACCCATTTGTGGCTTGTGCAGTTGGGTGCATGGTTTTAATCATTAAGATGGGGAATACAGGAGGAGGAGCAGTTACTAATAGGGTGAAATACTCTTCTTGGGGGCTGGCTGAGTCTGAATCATCTTTGAAATGTTTTGGGGATATTGGAGGGATAGTTTTAATAGGGTGAAATACTGCTTTTTGGTTTGTTGGGTCTGAATTATCTTTGAAATGTCTAAGGGACAATGTAAGTGAGGGAATGGAGGTTTATCTATGTGAGATTGTAGCTGAGAATAAAGATTTGGGAGGAATCAACATGTAGATAGGAGCTGAAGGAATGGTGAAGAGAGTGGAGGTTGGGAGGAGGGCCTAGTGCAGAACCTGAGAGGGAGGTGAATCACAAAGTGAGATAGCTTAGAGGTAGAATGGTAATCAGGAGTTTTGTGCAGTTTGAGCATCTCTTATCCATTGTGCTTTGAACTGGAAGTGTTTCAGGTTTTGTAGTTTTTCTAAATTTGGAGTACTTCAGTTAACTATTGTTAAAATTGTAAAAATAGGAGAATTTAGTTATCATTTGTTTGACCTTTTTTCTTGCCGCCTATACTGAGGATTGAAGCCAAGGCCTTCACACTAAGCTACATCTCCAGCCCTTTTTACTTGCTTTTTTTTTTTTTTGGTCTTTTCTTCCGGTACCAGGAATCGAACTCAACGACCTTGCGCTTGCCAGGCAAGCACTTTGCCGCTGAGCTAAATCCCCAGCCCCTTAGCCCTTTTTACTTTCTACGTTGAGGAAGAGTAAGTTGATAAGTTGCCCAGCTGGACTTCAACTCGTGATCTTCCTGCATCAGCTCCCAGAGTGCTCGATTTACAGTTGTGTTGTCACAGTCTTACGTTTTAGATGTGTTGCCTTACTGATCAAAAAGAATGTCAGTTTTAAAATAATACTTTATTATAAAAATAGATAATTTGCAAAGGCCAAAATTATGTAAAACTTACATTTTCCCATGGTCTGCTTTTGGTATCTTTATATATAAAATTATTTGTTTCTTGTCTGGCTTTCCTTGTTTCTCATAAAATTAGTAGCCACAAGGCCTTTGAATCTTAATGTGTTGTGAATATTTTCTTACTTCATTAAATAACTAATATGATTTTCAGTGGTTACATAAATTAAGATGTTATTTCACCACAACTTGTATGTTTGATACCCTACATTTCTTTGTATTTTTGGTATTTTTAAAAAGTAACACTATGAGAACTACCCTCATTAAATTTTTATTTATGACCCAGATTATTGCCTTAGAATACATTTCTAAAGAAGAATTTACTTAGTCAAAAGAGGAATGGTGAACATTTATATTATTGTTAGCAGCATATGAGCATGCTTACTTTATGTCATTGTCCATTACTGGAAATTGTTCTTTTTATATGTTTGTCAATATATATTTATTTATATGACAAAAACCATTTTAAATTTCAGTTTATATATTTAAATATTACAAATGCTTGAATTACCTCAGACTTGTTGTTTTGCTGTTCGATGTGTTTGTGTGTGTAAGTTGCCTTTTGCTGCGAGCCTTTGTCCGGGCGCAGGAGGGGAAAGGAGTGGTGTGGGTGACGGCTGTGCCTCCAGGAGAGAGGAGAATGCTAACGTGCTCTAAGGAAGTTTGCCAGTTATCAGAGTTCATTCATTCATTACTTTATTTCTTAGCATGACTATATGAAGGAAGAGGAAGGTTTTGCTGAAGATGAGGCGACTGAATCGGAAGAAAACCTTAAATTTGGTGAAAGAGTTGGATGCATTTCCGAAGGTTCCTCAGAGCTATGTGGAGACTTCAGCCAGTGGGGGTACAGGTGAGTTTTAGTTCAAGTTAAAATCCCCACAGTGAGTGCAGCGTCTGAGTGTGCAGAAACGTTTCGTGTACAGAAGCACAGCATGAGGAAGCGCCCCAGTGAACCGCACAGTAACTTTGTAGTCAGTCTGTCTGTCCATTTGTCACTGTTTACTCTGATTTTGTTCCTTACATTCTATGTGTTGCATCCAACCCAGTACCACTGTGCAAGTTAGTGGTGTTTATTAAGATACTAACCAGCTGATGCAGTTTTACTGCGTGGTGCCCTTTGCCTATGTGAAGTTAGAGTAACATGATTTTTATATACAAGTGGGATTGAAGTTAGAAGTAATGGAATGATGCTGACACTACTTCATTACTATTTTGGTTAAGAGTAAATGCGTATAAACATTTAAAATTTCTTGAATTTCACATTATTGTTCAGAGGCAATGTGAGGTAATGAAGAATTTAGACTTTAGATGCAGACTTTGGACTGTGAATTCACATCTCACCTCTACCCCTTCTCATGAGGAGGAAGTTACTCAAATCAGTCTCTGCCTTAGTTTCTTCCATGAAATGTTAGTATTTACTTTCTAGGCTTACTGGATCCATTAAATAAGTTATTAATCTTTAGAGCAGTGTTTGGTACAGACGGGAATATTTGTTAAACAAAATTAGGAAAAATTCTGTTTTTTCTTTCCCCATGAAGAGCTAATAAAATAAAATTTCACATAAAGTCTACTTTTTTTTTTTGTCTTTTTGAGACAAGGTCTCGCTGTGAAGTCAGGCTGCCTTGAGCTCTCTTTGTAGCCCAGGCTGGTCTTAAACTTGCAGCGATCCTCCTGCCTCAGCCTCCCAAGTGCTAGGATTGCAGGTGTGTGTCACCACGCCTGGCTAAAGTCTACATTTTTATTAGATAAAATGCTTGCTATTTCTAATCCCTTGTGATTAAGTTTCTTAATAAAAATAGTATAAGTTCTTATTGTACAACCTATATTAACTGTATTTTCTCATAATGTATGACAATTCTCGTTTGGTCTTTACTCATTTTGGCAAATATATTAGTGAAAGGTATCTTAATTATTTTATTTTATTTTATTTTGTGGTGCCAGGGATTGAACCCAGGGCTTTATGTGTGGAAGGCAAGAGCCCTACCATTGAACCGCATCCCCAGCCCAAGATACCTTTAAAGTTGAAGAAATAAGATACTTTCTCAACTTACAGATGTTTGTGTTCATATTTGTGTTCCTTAAATTTTCATTTTTGAGCTGTTTTAGGAAAAAAATCTATAAAGCATTTTGTAGAAAAACCTTTTATAATATTCAAATGGCAATCCTTAGACACTTTCTGCTTAGTGTAATCTTTTAAAAATTTTCCTCTTTACCTTTTTTTTTGGTTTGTTTTAATTTGTTGTTGTGTTTCTCAGTTTCTCTAATAGCATTTACCACTATGGCTTTATTAACGATAATGGAATTCTCAGTATATCAAGACACGTGGATGAAGTATGAATATGAAGTAGACAAGGATTTTTCTAGGTAACTTTTTTCCCTCTGGAAATACTTTTAGATTCAAGTTGTTTTAAAAATAACATTCTTTTTTTTTTTTTTTTAAGTCTGCCCTTTTATATTTGATTTATCTTAATTCTGAAGAAATAGTTCTCAAAAGTCTCTTTAACTACATGTATTAGGTGAAACATTTTAGAATCATTTAAAATCTGCTAAATTCTGAAACAAGAGCTTTTATTTAGTATGCACTTTTAAAAAATGAGTTAGGAAAACATTTTTTCTTAGCTATGTATGTGTATGAAATTGTTGAAGCTGTTTATTCAGGATTTTGAAATACCTTACTGAATCCATGGCCATACCACCCTGAACACACCTGATCTCATCTGAAATATCTTTCTGATCTGTGAACTGAAAGAATAGGTAGTCTAAAGACACATTACATATACTTATAACTTGATTTTTATAAACTATATCTGAGTTAAATTTTGATATAAGTAGTTTCACATCTAAACTTTTGAAAATAAAGCACTTTATGGGATAAGATCTACTTTACATTGATTCATTTATTTGGATTTTTTAATGGATAGCAGATAATAGGTTTATAATACTAAAATTGCACTAGATAGGAACAGATATTCTTGATACAAATTTTAGTTTTGCAATTCAGTAAATACATGACTTTTGGGAAGTTACTAAATTTTTAACTGAGCGTGTTTCAGTTTTCTGTTTTGTAAAATTAAAACAATATTCTTCTTTCTTGTGGTGTTTATGACAAATTGGCTGATATTTGTAAATTACTGTATAGCTATGGATAAGACATACAGTTAACTTCTTTTGAGCCAGTTTCTGCATCTTATGTGAGTATTCTAGGTATCATTAGACTCCGAGGAATTCATTGTTCTTATTTTCAGTTGGTTTTTAGCACCAGTGAAATACATTTTATTTTTGCCCCAGTGTAGTCTTTGATAGTTCATAAGTGTGGTGGGGACACCCAGAAGCCTTCTTGGCCTCCTACACTTGTTCCTACAGCGTTTCCTGAACCTAACTCCCAAGGTCATTTGGAGCAAGTTTAAACTCTAGATAATTTTAATGCGCTGTGAAGCTTTAACAATTTGTAACTCCTGTTAAATTATATAAGTGAAAAAAGTTTTATTGGAAATGCAGGACTCAGTTTAATTGTATCCCTTCTGCTATTTATAATGCTTAATTCTGGTTATTTGAAAATTTTATTTAAACTAATCATTTGAAAATAGAGGATTGGTTGAATCTTTTAAAAAGATTATACAAAACTGAAACATCACATTTCTTTTTTTAATGTGCTTGTATTTACCCTGAGTTACACAGTCTCAATTTCTCGTATGTCACTTTAGTGATTGATTAATTTTCATCAGGCATTTACACTACCGTAAACACTTTGTGAATTACTTGAAAAACCAAAGTCTTCCATCTTAGCGCTCCATGACATAAAAAAGGTAGTATTAGTAAGGCACGTAGCATAATGCATGATACTGGTGATAGAAGAGAAAAACTTGTAATTCCTAATGCTGAAAGTTTTACATGCTTAAAGGGAGAGTCTATCCAAACTTTATATAAACAGAGGTTAAGATTTTTTTCTGAGTTGCCCAGTGTTATTCCCTCTGGAGTTGCAAATTAAAGGGCAGTGTGTTAAATATCTGAGTACTGTGTTAAAAATCTGAAGTCAGAAATGTTTTTGTAATAATCACAAGTGAAACTTATGCTTTTAAATGTGCCTTTGTTTTAGCTATAAGACTTGCAATCCAAATTCTAACTGGCATATTCTGCTTGGAATCCAAGTTTTTCATGTCTCAATTGATTCTGTTCCTCATGCTTTGCTGACTGACAGGTTCTGACGTGTACCTTTTGTCTTTTAGTAAATTGAGAATCAACATAGATATCACCGTTGCCATGAAGTGTCAGTGTAAGTGTACATGCAGCTCCATGAATCTGTGTGTATTTTAGGGTTCAAACAGTTACCTGTAACATTAAAAGCCAAACATTGAACTTTAACTTTACTTTTCCTCTATAATGCTTAAAAATTTTATCTAATAATGCAGATTGTTTCACGTCAGTTTATATTCCTTAAATTTCTTTCCATAAAGAGATTTGGCTTTCACATTAGTACACATGACTAAAATAAAACGGGAGGAGAATCTGTTCAGAGTTTTAGTTTGAGTACGTTCTCTTTTCTTTTTGGAGGACTGTTTTCCACCCACACTCCGCATATATACCTTGTTTCTGTTTATCACCTTTGCTGTAGTTTGCTCTTACACTTTAGAATACAGATCCAGCTCTTGTAAATGAAATAACAAGCTACCTTTTCCTGTTTTCTTCACTAGCTTCATTTGATTATTTTGGTAAAAGTAAAAGAATGCTAATATGTTGGATAGGTTATATTTGAATCAATATTGCTGTCAAAAATGAGGTTATTTTTGCATAGAAAATATCTTGTAAGTTACTGCTTCAAAAGTAGAGACAAGCCTGGTGTAGTGGCTCATGCCTGTAATCCGAGCACTTAGGAGGCTGAGGCAGAAGGATTGCTGTGAGTTTAAGGCCAGTCTAGGCTACATAGTGAGTTCAAGGTCAGCCTGGACTACAGAGCAAGCATTTGTCTCAAAAAAAAAAAAAAGAGACGGACACAGCAGGGGCGACCCAGGACCCCACCGCCATTACATTCTTGAGTCTCTGCCCTCCGTGGACCTGTGGCAGACAGGAATTCCTCACTCAGAACCCCGGGGACTGCTCTCACTGGGGTTCACATGTGGGCCCTCCCTGCACGTGCCCTGCGCCAAGTGAGCGATAGCTCCAAGAGCTGCTGGTCCTGCGGTTCGAGTCCGTGCTTTACTTGTGCCCTGACCCCCTTAAAAAAAAAAAGAGAGACAAAGAAATCACTAGACAACGTTTTTCAGCGTGAAATAATTTTGCAATTAAGAGGTATTTAGATTTGAGAACATCCTTAAATGTATATCTTTTCCTTTCTGTTTTTCTCTGGTGATTTTAAAGAGATAAGGAAATACTTTATATCTAAATTTTGAGCTAATGCTTACACGGAATGTATCATACTTTGCCTTTTTAATTCAGTTAAGTTTATACTTTTTAAAATGCAATTGCTTATCTAGTTTTCTGAAGAAGTAGAAAAACATTATTAAAATGTGGAATAATATCATCCCAAGCTCTGCATTAACTTTTGAACAAATAAGTAGTATAGGAAAATAAGACTACATACTTGGTGAATTTTCTGTAGTTGTCTTAATTTGTTTATATCAGATATAGTTTGGCTCCAACTGTACAATATATTCTGTTCTTATTTTTTTAAAATACAGATGTTGGAGCAGATGTACTGGACTTAGCAGAAACAATGGTTGCGTCTGCAGATGGTCTAGTTTATGAACCAGTAAGTTCACAATTTTGGAATTATATGCTCTGAAGAATTGTGGACAGTTTTGATATTTGCCTTTAGTTTTGTCTGAGTTGCTTTTTTATATAACTTTTTTATTATTTCGAAAGTAATCCATATTCTTTGTGCAAAATTTAGATGGAGGGCAACAGAGAAAAGTTATGTCTAATACGAAGATTTGATATTATTAACATTTTGGATGAGCCCCTAAAGTATGTGTAGGGGCCAAGGATGTAGCTTTCAGGGGCACAGCACCTGCCTGGCAAGCACAAGGTGCTGAGTTGATTGCTGGCATCAAAAATAAATGAATGAATGAATGAATGAATGAATGAATGAAAGAAAGAAAGAACGTTTTATAAACTCTCCAGATTTTTTTATTAGTACATGTGCTGTAAATCATGATGATATGCATTGTGGCTGTTTTATAGTCTCTCTTACTTTTTTTGATGCTTCCTAATAGTTTTTTTAATTACCATAGTGATGAAATTTCCTACTTTTTCTCTATTGATTTGGAAACCATTGACTTTTAAAGGTATTTGAGCTTTGTATCATAAAAATGAAGCAATATCTGAGAGAAATTTCCTAGGCATCTACTACTTTGTCCCTTCTTTACATCTCTGAAAGTTTATGAAGTGATTTTCTTTTACTACCTTCAAAGCACACGTATTGGTTGTCCGAAAACACTGACATGTCACTGGGGAGGTATAGTAGCAGCAAGACCTTCTTAGAATTAGCTCTGAAGCAACTTGAGAGCAAGCATGAAGCTCCAGCTGCCCTAATGTGCCGACTACTGGCTGTCATTGCGGTGCTTATATTTACAAATGCACTCTTAGTTCCTTTGCCTGTCGGTACCTGTGAGCCCTTTGTTCAAGCAAGATTGCAAAATGATGACTGGAGGTAGTAGGGGAAGAGTAGAGGTGTTAAGTTTGTGGGTTTGAGGGAAGAAAAAGAAATCTTGGCCACTTTTGATTACTGAATTAATTGTAGTTTTTAACAACATCAGTACATATATATATTATATATATGTACACACATATACACCCTTTAGTAAACACTTTTTAAATAGAAATTTCTATAGAAAAGTAATTTTATTGTTACCATCCTAAGCTGTCTTTCTGTTTTCCCACTGATACAATTGATTTTATGATAATTTTATATAAAGTTAGGTACCTTACAAATTCAGGTACTGTGTTACAGCATATTGAACTCTTCTCTGGAAATTTGGACCCAGGTGGTGATTATTAGACACTGTAACATTTGCATTACATTGAATGCTATTTTAAGAAAAATTACTCATTTTTCACGTTGTTTTAGTGTTCTTAATTTCTGCCATTCTTAATTTACTTTTATCATTTTATGTAGGGACTTTCAAGGTTTCTTTTTCAGCAAGTATATTTGCTATAACTTACGGGCTTCAGCACAACTTCATATGTCAGTCATAGAGTAACTTATTTTTCTTGTAAATGCAGGTTTGATTGAGGTTGAATTCTTACTGCTTCCCAGCAAGAATATAGGCTTTAGATGCCTGAATTTTACATATAAATAATATTATCTTTTTTTCTGCCAAGTAGTTGTATTTTGGGTTAGCTTATTTTAAGTTATTTTAACTCCTAAGATGCCATTTTATATATATGGTAGATTGCTAGTCTGTATCCATTTCTTTAATAGACAACTATCGTAGTAAAATATGTGATTAGTAAAATTTAATGTTATTTTCAATAAACTGTCACATTAAAGTTTTTTATTTATAGAAGATTAAATACTGAATGCTTGCTTTTAATAACATTATCAGCTTATGTTTCCTGCTCAGATAAAATTTTTAAAAATCACGAAATGAAAGTCAAGAGAGTTTAAGGAGTGCTACTGATTGCTTTCTTGTATTTCAGGCAATATTTGATCTTTCACCACAGCAAAAAGAATGGCAGAGGTAATAAGAAAGTAGATTTTTTTTCTGTTGTAAACTAGTTATAGCTTAACATTTCTGTGCATGAATTATTAGCAGAATTTAGTATATAATGTAATCTTTTAATTTAAAAATTTTAACAGCTCTTAGGAAAGTTGGGCATAAACTTTAATATATTTTGAATCATAAAGTAATTTTAGTATATATTTAAAATTTAATTCTAAAAGTAATATGTGAACGTTGTTTAAAATTCAATTTGAATAGAATGAATGTAAAGGAAAAATAAAAGCCTCATTCTGGAAACTAGTAACTAGTACCTGATTAGTAGTAATAGCTAGAGTTAAGTTTCTTATGTGGTTTTCTAGAAATTTTCTCTATGTAGATAATTTTTGTGTTTGCAAATACGCTTACCTATTACTTTTGTAATACAGAGTGAGTTCACTCCGTACATTTGTTCTGTAGCTTGCTTTTGTACACCTAATATGATAGTTTGCACACTTTAGTATATATACTAAGTCCATTTTATTGGTAGACTGTAGTATATAAAAATGATACTCAGTAAACATACCGAAGCCTAGTTCCTTTTGTGTTTATCTTAATGTGTGTGTAAACATTTTCCAGAAATGAACATTTAATATATAGCACTGTATGTCCTCCCAAAATTGTTTTCCTTACACAGTACTTCAAAACTATGAGAGTGCTTCTTTCTATATAACCTCACCAAAAATAAGTATAATCAAAATTTAAAAAAAATTTTTTTTGCCAGTTTGATGGGTGAAAAATGGTATTTTATTTTTTATTTGCATTTTGTGAATAAATGGACTATCTTTGTAAATTCTTCACTGCTATTTCTTTTCTTTTTTTCTTTTTTTATGAAACTACTTGGTCATGCTCTTGGTTGGTTTATTTTCTTACTTTTTAAAGAATCTTTTGTATATTTAAGAAATGTGTTCTCTGTTGTACGCATTTTCCTAAACCCTTGTCTTACCCCCCACACACCCTTTCCTAGGCTATGTCCTGCAGTTAAAAAGGCATTGCCTAATTTAAAGATTATTACAAAAAACATTTGTAGCCGTTTTGTTTTCTAGTACCCAGTTACCTTTTAAGGGCAAATGCACTTTAATTTCCAGCTTCACCAAGTGGGGGAATTTTAATATGTAAGTTGAAATTGATTGTGATTGAACAAAAGCAATGAACAGAGGTGTCTCAGGCTTCCAGCACTTGTAATAGAAAGCCATCCAGAAAGGAAATACTGTGCTCTGATCCAGAAATATTAATGTGATCAGAGTTCAAGGATAGTAGTAAGTGGGACCAGAGAGTGTATGCTTTTATTAAGGTGACAGGTTTTCCATTATGTTTGAGCTTTCTACATACTTTTTTTTTCCCCCCTCTGGAACTGGGAATCAAATGCATGACCTCGCTGTGCCGCTGAGCTAGATCCCCAGCCTCTATATACTTCTTATGTGGAATGTAGGTTCAGATAATTGGCACATTCCAAGCAGAGGTTAGAGACACACACACACACACACACACACACACACACACTTGATGTGGAATGTAGGTTCAGATAATTGACACATTCCAAGCAGAGGTTAGAAACACACACACACACACACACACACACACACATACACACACACACTTGATGTTATCAGACTGACCACTGCCTACTGTCAAAATTGAACTCTGGAAATACAAGACATGAATAGGGAAAGCTTTCAGTTTCTGCTGGGTTTGGACCCAAAGATTTTAAGTCTTAAAATGTTAAAATCTGAAGATGAGATGTGGCTTCTTGAAGCTTCTTGGGTTATCATGTTCTGCTTCTAAACAAATATTTTTTAATGGCTCATGAGTGACTTAGAGAAACCTTCCTGAACAATGTACATATCAAGATGTACTTCACTTTCAGAATTTGCTAAGAGATTTAAATTTTCTCTCAGTTGGTGTTCTACTTCCTTAAAATATTTAGGATCCAAATTTTCTCTCTTTTTGTTTATTTTAAAGAAAACAGTACAAAAAAAAGAACAATAGCAATATACAAACAAAGCAACACAAGGACATTAAAAATGATATGGGGTTTATTGAAAAATTTAAACTCTGAACCTAGCCTTTCTGGGTTTCTGCTTTTTATGTCCAGATTTAAGATTTATTCTAAGCTAAGTGTATACTGTAACTATGACTTACAATTTTAAAAAGGCCTATTTGTCAGTATTTTAGATGAATGGTGCAGATATATTTTATTTCCCACTTGCATTTCTAGAAAGTGTATATTTTATCTTTGTGGAGTGTAGAGTATTACAGATTTACATTTATACTCTTAAAGTACCTGTGTTTGTGTGTATTTTTTTCCCAAGTTCAATGTATGTATTTGTGTGTGTGTGTGTGTGTATAGGCTTTGTCTTAGGGTAGTTTTAGGTTCACACCAAAATTGAGAAAGTACAGAATTGCTATGTAAACCTCCCATTATGTTAGTTATAATTAATGAACCTACACTGTTACCCAGAGCCCATAGTTTATATTAGGGTTCACTCTTGCTGTTGTACATTCTGTGATAAATGCGTAATTCACATACCCACTACTGTAGTATTGGGAAGATTAGTTTGACTGCCTTAAAAATTCCATGTTCCGCCTATTCACCTCTCCCTCCCTACTGTGTATAATTTTTGTATTTGCTGAGTTCAAACTTACCACAGATGACTTGAGATAGTACAGTATGTAGTGGTATAAAATTAAAAGAAAATATTAGCGTTTTTCATATGCTTATATATTTTATATGTTCATACTGTTTTTAAAAGTGACAGGAAGAGTACAGTATTTTAGAGTAGCCTTGTCATAGAATAGTTTTGTTTTCTTGAGCAAGGGGGTATCAGGTGATGGTAAATGGTCCTGTGACCGAGTCTGTAATGCAAATTAGATGCTTGTTAAGGGAGTTCATACCCCAGGAGTCTACCACTTGGAGTCCATCAAGGCTGTTTATTATATGACTCTTGCCTTACTATTTGTATAATACCTAATTATTATTTTATTGAACTTAGGATGCTGCAGCTGATTCAGAGTAGGCTGCAAGAAGAACATTCTCTTCAAGATGTGATTTTTAAAAGTGCTTTTAAAAGTGCATCAACAGCACTTCCACCAAGGTGAGAAGTAGACTTTAAATGTGTGACTATTTACTATACGTACTAGAAATTTACCGTACTTCAATGTTGGTTTAGTTTTCTGCATCTTAGAGAAGATAGAATCATTCTGTACCATAAGAGTGACTTTTACTCTTAAATTTGTAGCTCATGATTTTGATCAAGATTATCGCAAATGTATTATTTCATTTTCATTTAATTTATGGGTGTGGTATACTTCTGCATAAAATGATACTATGTTTTAAGATCAAGTTGGTTGCATTTATTATGAGGATATATGGTATAACTTTTGGTTGGGAATTTTTTATTTCTCTTTTGTTTTTTATTTCTCTTGTATAAGTTAGAATAGTTGATAGTAGGAAATGTTACAAGCATGAAAATGACACTTAAGAAATACAGATTTACATTTCCTTAGAAAATGTCACCATCTGTCTGAACTCAGACAGCATACCCTTTTCTTACCTCAGTTTTATTCCCACCTTGTCCTTCCTTCTGCAGTAGATGAAGAAAACATGTTTTTGTTGTACTAATTTTTTTGTTTTAATCTTCCTTCTGTCATTGGTCTTCTGGTTAGATTTGAAGAACCATAGAATTTTAGATTTGTGTAAATATAGTAGATATGTAATAATTATGTAATTTTTTCTGTTTTTCTGACGTATGAATTTTACAGCTATATAGATCTTAGGAAACTGCTTCTCCAGTTTTCACATTTAGGATATTACCTAAAAATTTAATTTTAGGGATTCTTCCCCTCTCCCACATGCGGTTTTATCACCACAAAATTGTAGGTATATTGAATGTGTTTTAAGTAATGTTAATATATTTTGTTTTAATAGGGAAGATGATTCATCACAGTCTCCAGATGCATGCAGAATTCGTGGTCACCTCTATGTTAATAAAGTAGCTGGAAATTTTCACATTACTGTGGGCAAGTATGTTCTTTTACTGAAAATGCTTTAGATAGGATTGCTCTTGGTTAAAAATAAGCTCTTTCTTAATCAGATAATTTTAATAGTTAACTACTAAAGGACTGCTGAGATGTTATGTGTTTGTATTTTCAGAATTATGTTTAGTGCTTCAGTTGCAAGATAGACTACTAACTTAAAACACTTATAAGGCAATCATGTCATACTTTAAAGTCTAGGTAAATGTTATTTAAGACCTACTTCTTGCTAAGTTTTAGTAGCTGGAGAGTGCCAACTAGACATTTCATTAATTTGTTTTGTTGGGTTACTAGTTTTTGTTGTGTTTAGCCTTTTGGTAGTCCTTATCAAAAGGACTACCAGTACCTGACTAATTCTAGACATGCATTTTGATGTATTTAGAAATTAGTAGGATCTGAAATAAAGTTGAATCAGGTACAAATTAAGGAAGAATAACCTATCATACCCATCTTCATATGTAGCATAGAAATTGTCAATAAAGACATGATAAATTTCTAAATGAATACATAGATTACATCCCTCCCTCCCTCTTTACATAGAGATGAACTAAAAAGTTCTTTATTGTCTAAGGCATTGTTTGAGTACTTGCTGTGTATGAAGTGACAGGCTAGATACTAAATGAAACAGTGGAAAACAAAGATTTTTACCTTTAATGCTGACATTTGGTAAGAGAGTTCAAACTTTGAACAGTGAATACACTTAGTTGTTCAATATGGCTGTATTGATGGTGTGAAGAAGGTGTTTGGATGATAAGAAGTTATCTGTTAGGGTACTTAACCTAGTGTGCTAGTCAGCAGAGGCTTTATTGATGAAAATCTTTGAACACTATTTGAGAATAAGAATTTAATATAGGGGAGGGGGAAAGGGCCTCAGCAGGAAAAAAAGTGGTTGGAGGGTTTTTTTTATAGAGATAACAGACTTATGAAAAAGTATTTCATTGTTAACAGTGATCAAACTTGCTTTTTTTCCATTGTATTCTTTTTTCCTGCAAATTCAAATTTTGTTCTTTAGTCACTATTGCCAGGATAGATTCTCCCCATTTCCACTCTGTTACGGAGAATCTTGGAATTACTTGGTATTGTAGGGGTGATAAATAATAGTTGGCTTAAGAAATACAGAAGATTTTATTATACTTTTGCATCCAAACAATATCCTATTCCAAGAGGGAAACTGACAAATATTATATGTTGTGTCCCCCTCTTTGCCGTTTCCTTCTAGCTCCAGATGATAATTTATGCTATCAATAAGAGACCAAATGAAGACACATTTGGTTTATAGCTCATCAACTCAGAGATACCCTGTAAACCCACCACTGATGTTTTCTTGATTTGTCAAGTTTGTTTTTGGTCATCTTGAAAATTTCATATTACCTCTCGAACACAGTGCCATTCCCAGCTGTAGTATGAGAGTAAAAGAACACAATGTACAATATGTATTTTAATATGCAAATACTTGAACATGAATCACTAGAAAACCTAAGGAAATAGGTAAAGGCTTGCCACTTGTGTGTCGAAGCAGACAAGATAGACTAATTGTGACCGAGACATTGCCTCTCAGATACCATGAATGGCATGTCTGTTGATGAGATGATAGTCCGAAATAGTGAACAACTCTTTTTAATGCTGTGAACAAAATAATATAATCTTAATTTTATAGGAAATCTAGCATGTATTGCAAGTGTGACAAGTGTAGCTAAATTCTAGACTCTGGTAATTGTAAGTAGGTTTTTCACTTAGGTACATGAATATCTCTTAGAGCACTTGAAAGTCATGTAAAATGGGGCAATTCTTTTTTGTGAGACTGTTGATTTCTTTGCTGGATGCCTTGTTTCCCTGACTGTCATTTTTAAATACCAATACCAACCCCTCCCCAATAATTCTTGCAGCGAGAAATACCTCTCCCCCATCCCTACCAATTTTCAGAATATGTTTTCCACTGTAAAATCATTTGGACTAGATTTTTTGCTTGGTGGGATGGAAAATACAAGATGGCAGAAAAAAAAAATAGCTAAGTTGTGAGAATACAACTTCCCTCCATAGAGCTTTTACAGGCATCAGAGGACTACAGTCATCTGTATGGGGGTAATTTAATGTGATTTTTAACTTTTAGTTTTTTGGAAGGATATGCCTGCTCATACTGTTACTTCATAAATTTCCAAGTATGTTTTAACAATCAAAAAAAAAAATGAGAGAAAGAAGGAGGTACAACTCAAACAGTTCTCTGTTCCTTTCAGAATACAATTCTATAGTACAGGAGACCATTGATGTCACACTCAGTACTGTAACTTGATTAATCAGAGTAACTGCAGTGGAAATACTGTTGGGATAATGGCATCAGTGGGGATTGGAATAACCTATGACAGGAGATTTTCTTTTTAGTAGTGAGTTTGAGTATATGTATATATATATATACATATGTATACACACACACACACACATATTCTCAACACAGTGCATAGGAGATGCTTTGCTGCATAAGATTTTAGTCAACTTCATGTTGAATGTTAACATATTTCCCTAACCCAACTCAAGACCAGTAGTTAGAAAAATTTAAAAATGTAAAAGGGAATATTTAGTAGAATTTCTTCTTAAAAAAAATGAAAATGAGATTGCATTCAAAGTGTTTGTCTAGTTGATTAGCCAGATAAGAAAAGCCACATACTGATAAGTTAATGAAATCATGTTTGATTGCAATAGCTGAAGAAACATATCCAGAGGAAATAAATTTTCTTTAAGTAGTTGACCTTCCATGAGGAAAGTGCTACATAGCTGAGGACGTTAACGGCAGGTGCAGTAGCCAGTTAAAGTGCAAGGCAGGGGCCTCTGAGTGGTGTCCTAAGCCTCTAAGTAGGCAGATATTAACAATACTGTTTTTATTTGAGAAGTCAGTGCTTAGTTTAAAGTGGTTGAAGAATTCGTGTCTTTGTATAGCCTGCCTGGAACAACTTAGGAAAGGGTATTTCTAAAGAAGTTTGAGAGGATACAAATTTCAGTACAACCTAAAGTGGAGTCTGCTAAGATGTGTTACAACTGGTGGAGCAGAAAAAGGCTACTGGATAAATTTTTCAAGTATGAAAATGTAAAACAGTTTTGAGAGTCTTTGGTTAGCCATTTTCCATCAGCAGTACTTTAGAGAAAGTGTTTGAATTGTGTATTTTTGATTGGTAATGGTGAATAACATTTGCACTCACAAACTTAAATACTGTGATTTACATAAATTTTTTTTAGGCTGAAATTTCCAAGTTGACATAACAAAACAGCAGTTTGGCTTAGCAGTAACAAGAGTTTAATTTTCTAGCTAATGCCAAAGTGGAAATTTTTCTGAATGAGTAAATACCAGCTACCACTTTCACTGAGCATTGAATAGCTTTGAAATTGTTTTGTGCACCCTCAGTAATGTTTTTTAATGTAATGTTTCTAAAATTACAAGGCAAAACATGTTTAAACGTGTAACAAGTAATGTTAAGTGATTTTGAGTGGCCTATTCTGTTTTTAATGCTTTAACAGCTTTGTTGTTGAAAGTTAAAATAGGAATTGAGAGCTCTATTCTCATACTTGGATATATGTTCTTCTCTAAAAATTGTAGTTCCAAAAATGTTTTCAGACCATGATGAAAGTGCAAATGAAATTTCCATGTTTCAAAATGCATTTAACTGTGCAATTGAGGAAATTCTACCCTAAGTTGGGAGTTACTAATCTGGAATGTAATAATATACTTAAAGGCAAATACTAAGAAAAGAGTCTAATACTGTTTTCAGAATGTCTTCTGATCAATTGATGTGCCCATTTCAGATGTAGGTACAGATTTATGTTTTCAAAAATGAAATGTGTAATATTTCATTACAAATCATCGTTAAAAGATAAAGATTTGTGGTAAACTTTAAAATAGAAACACTGTCTCTGAACTCCACTAAGCAGAATGTAATTTCCTGTCAAAATACTGGTGTTAGAACAAATACAGTAGTTGTTGGTTATTATTATTTTGAGTTTTGTCAATAAAGTTTGTGGTAATTTGTGTCCTCATTATGTAACTAACTGTATGACATCCTTGATTTTGTTGTGTTGGCACACAAAGCCTAAAATACTTACTGTGTAGCCCTTTACAGACATAATTTGCCAGCCCCAGTTTATTGTATTGCTTAGATGATAAAGCTTCATCATTGGCCAAATGTTAGTTTGCACTGCAGTTGTATAGTGTAAGAAGGATCCACTTTCTGATGATTATTTATACATTTGAGCTATATTTCTTTAATACTGTTTTCCTCCTTCCAGGGCAATTCCACATCCTCGAGGTCATGCACACTTGGCAGCACTTGTCAACCATGAGTGTAAGAAGTTCTGAAATTCTTTTTAGTGTAGATGTCTTTGAAGAAAAAAATGGGGTTCTTAGTGCAGGTGCAAGGTAGGGCTTTGAAATGAAGATGATTTGAAAACAGATTCATCCAGAGGAGAAAATAAATCATTACATTTATCGACTAATCCACTTCCTGTTATCTTTCAGTTACCTGTATTTCTATGTGATCCTAGCTCAGATGTTGTTAGGGTTAGGGAGCTTGGTATACTTTCTATCACTTTAAACATTTCGGTTAATTTTTATAGATAATGGAGAGAATATATTTGAAATTTATTTCAGTTTATAAATCTGAGTGGACATATCCACGCATGTAGTTTGTTTGCTGTACTGTTATGGGTCTTATTTCTGCAATATGCTGTAGAGCACAAAATAACAAATTTTACTAAATCAGTTTGGTCACACCAGTGCTATACATTAAAAATAGATGTGATCAGCTTCATTATTTGGTTGTAGGAACGTCATTGTAGTTCTAACAAGAGTGTCCTATGACTAGATGATGTTTGGAAAGATATATTTTAAGGCTGTCAGGATTAAATGTAATATTTCGTAGAAATGAATTGGTAGACATAGCATTTTTTCAGAATTTACTTACTCTCATACATTTTTCATTGATAGGCATATTTCTCAGCACAGTGTTTACAGTACAGTGTAGATGTTTTCATTTGAGAATAGATAACTATGTAAACCAGTCTGTAATGTGTAGTTTTGAATAATGTAAATTCTGTTCTTAGTTGATTTTATTTTTTTCTTTTTAGCTTACAACTTTTCTCACAGAATAGATCATTTGTCTTTTGGAGAACTTGTTCCAGGAATTATTAATCCTTTAGATGGAACTGAGAAAATTGCTGTAGATCGTAAGTGTTGAGTAATTACTCTGGGATATGCATACTAGAAATCATTAACCTTAATATTACATGTTTTAAATAATCTTCTTCCTAACCTTGTAAAGATAATCTTTAAGTGATTGATGAGTGAAACATGTGAGAGAATCTGTCCTAGCAGTGAATGAAATTTGAATGTTAAAAAATTGAGTTATAGAATAAAAAAAAATGAAGAATTAAAGGTAAGTAGGCAAGAGAAATAGAATTCTAAATATATGAAAGGTTAGTGTGTTACTAGGGCATAACTGCATGTGTTCATATTCACTAAATAAAGAATTAAGAGAAAGTTTTAGTATTGTAGGAAAACTTTTTCTTCTGTACTGGTTCCAAGTTGTAAAGTGCACGTATACTGTTCTAGAAACCTCCCCAGAGAATTTTACAAACATAAGATACCTGGAGTTACTCCAGAGTGCCTTAGTTATTAATACTGTATAGTCATATAGTCTTTTTCTTTGTTTTTTTAACCTACTCCAATTAAAGAATTAGTTTATTCATATATGAAAGGATTATTTTCTGCATTTTGTTGCAAGTAATCTATTTCATGTTTTCTGAAGAGTTTTGTCAGTCTCCTTAAATAGTTATATTGTGTGACATACCCCACCTTGTGGATGATTAAGGATGTCCAAAGCTTCTGAAGCTCCTGGGAATTCTTGCTTCTGTATGACTATGAGTATAATTTTAATTTCAATGGATGTATTATTGTCAGGATTATGAATATTCTTTCTTTTAGCATAGTGTTAGGTACATTAAAGATGTTTGACTACAATTACTGGTTCACATTCATGAGTATTTTAAATTTTCATGGGAATGTTTTACTTAACGAAAATTAGTGTACTAAATTTGGAAGTCTGTGATTAGAAACATCCTGTGAATTATAAGCTTTAGTCGGTGTAATCTTGTCCACAGTCTAAGTGTGTGTATACTCTGTGCTGAATCCATTGCAAGCTAACAGGTGCTCATTTGAAAGCATGTTGGTCAGCTTTACTTCAAGATGTTAAAATGAACTATAAGTTTTTGTACAGATGTTCTTCTGAATATAAACTGCTTGATTTTCAAAAGGCTATTTTTAAGTACACCTGCTGCTGAATTCAGAGAGACCAAGAGTTATTTATGTTATATCATGAAATGACCCCTGGTGATATTGAGTGGGTCACTCAGAATTTTAAAGCAAATGTTCTCTTTTCCTTCCTAATACATGAATATGTTCTGTTGCCCCTCTCCTTCTGGTAAACAAGATGAAAAACATAGTTACAAACCTGTGGTGTGGCGCCAGGTCATTACTGTCTGCTTGGTGGTCCTCAGAAGTATGTGCCCTGCTTAACAGTTGCAGTGTCCTTAATGCGGTGGGCTTTGGGCAGATCCACAACCTTTGGAACAACCTGTGACTTGGAACGAAAATTCAGCAGCGCTTTTCCCTTTTTGGCTAGTAAACTTTTTAGCACAGTTTTTTCCTGATTTTACATTAGACAAATCTTTAACAATCTCCTGACCATAGCTTAAGAGATTTTCAGTTTTCCCTTTGTATTTGTTTGATCCTCATTGGTCATTATTTATTACTTCAGCATTTGGTGCTACATGCGTGGTGTTGTGATTCCCCATGTCCTTCACATCCCCCGCCCTGCCGCCCTGTGTAATATTCATATGTACAATTCTGTTTAATGCTTCACCACTCTCAGTTTTATCTTCTTAAATAAATACCTAATGCTTGAACCTTCTTTAACTTTCAGTTCTGTTTATGACATGTTAAAATTTATTTGTAAAACACCAAAACTATTACAGATTAAGTAGTTCATCTTACTTCAGAGAATGCAGAGGGCAAATATGAAGACCATCCTCAATTTATAAGATGATATCTTTGCCTAATACCATCTGTGAGAATATTTAGGACATAAAGTTGACATTAATAATAGAAGTGATCAAAAACTTCATATTTTTGACAATTGCAGTGTTACATATAATAGGTGAAATGAGATAGTAAGTTGAAACAGGCTTAACTTTCTTTTATTAGAGATTTAATTAGAGGTTTCTTTCAGTCTGTCCATAGTTGTATTCTTTTCTCCTCTATTCTAAATAAGCTAGAGAGCTAAGAGATAGAGAAATTGAATTGGTAGAAATAAAATTTGATTTGTGTTGAGCAAAAGAGGCTAGACACACAGATATGTATGTACGGTGTTGTTCTGATTATATGCACCTCTAGAATAGGTAAAAGTAGTCTGATACTAAAAGGCAGGTCAGTGATTGGAGTAGTGCCGCAGGTACAGAGAATTGACTGCCAAGGGTATGAAGAAACCTTTTGATGTTTTGAAAATCTTTTATATTTTGCTTTGGCGGTGATAAGATGGGTGGAGATGTTTGTTAACATTTTAACCATATGTTAAAATGAGTGCATTTTATTACATATAAAGTTGATGTTTTAAAAGTTCATTTGTCCAACCACTGTTTATTTGTAAGAACATGTTGTATTTATTAGTTTCTATTGGAGCCATTAAGGACCCAATACTCAATACAATAGACATAGTCCTTGCTTCTCAGAGAGTACATATTTTAATGAGGAATGAGACATTCTACCAGCACTTGGTAGTGATAAGTATGAGGATGAGAGGTTGTTAAGAAAATGTAGGAGATCACTTGTGATAGGAGAAAGGAAGTAGGAAGGCTGTGTACTTGAAAAAGATGACCTGAGTGAAGAAGTAAGCCAGGTAGTGATCTCTTAGAGTGTTGCAGACAGCTTTATTATTAATTAAGAAAAATCTGTATTTGCTACCACAGTTGGGAATCTGTTACACATAACATCCTTCCCTGCTGCCAGCTGGCCAGGTAGCAGGGACAAGTCCTCATAGCATAGAAGTAGATGTCTGTGTTCTGCATGAATCGTGTTCTCAGTCTCTTAGAACTTACGTATATTCTAATGGAGTACAAGTAAATAAGGCATCTGAGTCAGATACTGTGGGAGCTTGATGAACTCCTAGCAATCAGATAACCTAACAAGAGGTTATGACCTTTCATAAGCCAGTGTCAGGTCCTGCTGCAGTAGTGCTGATAGCAAACCCTAAACCTCAGAGGCCTAAAATGACCACCTGTGACCTTCGCTTTTGGGGGTTGCTGTAGGAGTGCGTGTCTTCCATTCTCTTGCCTAAGTGACTGTGCAAGACATCTTTACCTGTAGAGGCTGGCAGTGTGTGAGCAGTCTGCGGATGCACCCCGGTGTGACAGTCCCCAAAGCAGGGCACCTGAGGAGCCCGGAACCGGGGGAGCAGCGAAGCAGTCGCTACTTGTAGTGAGCTGTGGCGGTGAGGAAGCAGGAAGGAGAATTGTGAACAAGTAACGCAGTTGACCCCAGCTGTCACTCTTGATCAAAATGATGCTTGTTTGCGGGTAAAATACATTTTATCCCTGAAGTTTCTTCAGCCTAGGCACCAGATTTGATCCACAGGTTCTAAATGAGGTGTTTTGAATCTGGGAACCTGTAGGCTAAACAGTTTGTGCCTCCCCTTACACTTCAGGAGCATGTACTGTGTAAATACATTAAATATTCTCTTTCAAAATGAGGAAGAACGAGTGGTGTATATTCAGCCTCATAGCAGTTTTGAAGTCCATCTGGACAGATGAGACATTCCCCTGCTCAGGAAGGGGAGCGTCCCTTGATGAGGTCTTGCCTGCTCCTGGGCAGAGCTCTCCATACACCCCGCAGCCCCCACAGTTCCTTCTCTTCTCTGTGACTCTTGGCTTTATCTTCTAGAAGTGCTCCTGCTTTCCCATACACCTTGGGGCATATCTAGCTAAGGCACTGGAGGATGTACCTTTCTTAGAACTAAACACTTTCCTTAGCCTGCATCCAGTTTATAAAAAAGTTGGAGACCTTTGTGATTTTAAATTTCCAATTTAAACTGTTTATGAATGCAGAAGTGTTGTTGTTTTCTTGCAGCTCCATGTGCCAGAAATTGAGGAAGTGTTAGGAGACGTGCCTCGTTGTCAGCTTAAGTGTAGGGTCTTTGGGCTCGTCAGGGTTCCTCTGGCCTGCCTCCCTGGTCTGCATCGGTGGAGAATGTAGGTAGATTCTGCTGTCCATGAATCTCGGTGAATTTGGAGGGAAGAAATGTGAATAGATAGTAATACAGTCTTTCAGAGCCCACAGTTGCTGCAGACATATTTTGTTTACTTTATACATCCAGTTCCTGATCTGTGGATTTTTTTAAGTGGTGCCACTAGTTTTTCAGAGGTGACTATTTGCCCATGTGGGTGGCCATCTCTGTGCAGTTCATCACAGACACTATCTTGTGCTTTTGCTGAGAAAATTAGAAATTGTGGTTAGTAGACTTATTAGTGCTGGAAAGCTAGTTGTTGGGACAACTCTAATTAAACCATTAGGTTTGTGCTTGCTTTGTGAAAAGATTTGCTGCAGCATTTCTGTTCAACAGGACACGAGGTTTTCTTAGATAGTAATCTCAGCTGGTCTGTATTCGGATGGCTAGGATCTTTGTGGAAATGATCATTGTGATTAATGGATTAGGTAGGGGGAGAGGTCTAGGTTTTCCGTTTTAAAGAAGCTTCCCAGCTGGCTCTTTAAACATTTAAAAAAACTATGATAGGTAATTTTAATTCTTGTATTTACATATACTTTCTTTTCAGTGGTGAGTGCCATGTTATGTGAAGTATGTATTTTCAGTTCAAATGTAAAGATGTCCATTGCTGCCTAATTAGACCTTTAGACGTATCTAATTCTAATGTGATGGTTATACTGTGGTAATTTTATTGTACTTTTCTTAGTCTCTGTACCACAGAGAAGTGCTACCTTTATTTTTCCATCTTTCTTATGCTGTCTTAACTAAATCACTGGTTCATCTGTTTAACATCTTGTATGTGTCCTGTGTGTATTTGTATGTGCTATGAACTTGTTTTACCAGGTATAAATATATTTTTAATGGTTCTTTTTAAAAATTATTCTTTATTTTAGTTGGAAAATTAAGTCCAATGTAATAGTAGATTTCAAGTTTAGTGTGTTTAATCAAAAGATATATTTGGTAGTAGTTTTTTGCTACTAGATTGATGATAAAAACACGTTTTGTTTTTGTTTTAGACAACCAGATGTTCCAATATTTTATTACAGTTGTGCCAACAAAATTACATACATACAAAATTTCAGCAGACACACATCAGTTTTCTGTGACAGAAAGGGTAAGTTGAAACTAACTGGTAAAAGTTGGTGTTTTTGTTAGCATTTTATAGTCTTCTGGGTACAAGATAAGGTTGGAGTTTTAGTTGGTGCCCTTTCTGATTTTAAAATTTGTGGAAGTTTTGAAACGAATTAACTTTTTTATTTTAAGGCAGAAATAAATCAGAAATGGATATTTGCATTTCTAGAGCAAGAAAAGCAATTATTATTTTTTAATTCAAGTGTTTTCAATTAAAACAGTATTAATTTTGTAATGTGTTTTCTCATAGACCGGTATAAGTGTTCCTAATCCACCAGCAGATTTTCTGATTTCTGTTTTTTAATAAATGTTCCAAACCATGAACATGCGTGGTGATTGTAGACCAGCCCGCAGACTGAGAGAGCCTGCACCCTGCCTGACACCTTGTATTCCTGCCTCATGCTTTGTATTCATCTCATGAGTGTTCGGCAGCCTCAGGGTGAGAGGCTGCTTTGTGAGCAGTACTAACAGTGAGGAGCAGAGTTTGGCTTAGCAGGTTTATTTACTCTGGGGTCGCATTTTCTTATTTTAGTATTTAAGAATGGTAAATAATCAAATATGGGTATCCAGAAGAATTTTGAGTCAAAACTTAGTGCTTTTTAAAATTTACTTTCCTCTATATAGAGTTTTCTTTTGCTGTTTTTTGCAACCTACTGTAACCAGGTCTTTAGTAATTACAGAATATTCCCTGTTCCTCTGAAATTAGGTATTACTTTTATGGGTGAAGTATTAAGTATCTTTTCAAATGGTTAAGGGGAAAAACAAGTAAATATAATGGTGTGTGTTTGTATATGTGTGTGCATACACGTACACACTTTTTAAAAAACCAAGCGTATGTAAGATCGTACTCTACTTCCTAACATTGTGTAGGGAGATAACATTTCTCACCTGTAAGACGAACAAACACTGGAAGACAACATCCACATTTGGCAAGGCTTTGGGGAAAACAGGTACACGTATACTGCTATGGGAATGCAAAATGCCATAGTCTCTGTGGAAGGAAGCTTGGCGGTGTGCCCAATGACCTGTGCCTTTACCCTTTGAACCCACAGACCCTCTTCTGGGAACCCTTTCCATGTTGTAATGGGAGCACACTAAAGTGTTATGTGTGTGAGGCTGTTCATTGTGTTGTTATTTATAGAAGGCTAGAAACAGCTTGTGCTCTGAGAAGTAGAACACGCCAAGAATTAGGACACTTCTATATCCTGATCTGAAATTATTTCCACAACATATTTTAAAATAACAAAATTAAAAAGAAAAAATATAGTAGAATCCCAGAGCATTTGATCTTTGAGGGGTGTGTTTTTGTTGATAGAATGACTTAAAATAGTTGTATTTCACTTAAAAAAGAAGTGGAATATTGGGTTGGTAAATTGCAGAATAAGGGAACAAAGAGAGCGAGGGCTGACCCTCCCTGGTCCAGGAGCCCAGAGTAAATGATTACCGGCCTTTTGTTATCTCGACGCCCGTTACTAAAACAGCTCCTCTGCCCTGCTGCCCTTCTTCTAGGAGCGAATCATCAACCATGCTGCAGGCAGCCATGGAGTCTCGGGGATATTTATGAAATATGACCTCAGTTCTCTTATGGTAACAGTTACTGAGGAGCATATGCCTTTCTGGCAGTTTTTTGTAAGACTCTGTGGTATTGTTGGAGGAATCTTCTCAACAACAGGTTAACATTTATTTCTTTGTCTATTTTCTAAAAGTTTATTACATTTAAGATGTTTGTACTTAAAGGGGACAAAAATACGCACATAAATATAATTCATTTTACAATATTCAGTGACTTAAGGGAAATTATTTGGTGAGCTACAAATGTCCTGTGTGAACAGCAAAAACAAAAAGTAGAATTCAGTCCAGTATCTGCCATTTACTTGGTGGTGACCGTGGATACGTCACCTTTTTCTGAAATTACTTTCTTGCATGAAAATTGGACTGACTTAAAAGTGTGTTGTAGGGTTAAATGAGAAAGTGCTGAGAAGTGTAAATTTTCCTTTTAAGGGGATTTAGTTGTACGGTGTATAAAATCATGTCTTACATGCAGTGTGTGAAACTAGATTTTTCAGCGGTTTTGAGGGTTTTTTAAAATTTTTTTTTAATTTTAAAGAGAAAAGAATAAAAACAAATTAACAACTACAAGGACATAAAACAACACAATAAACAATAAAAATGATACAGAATTTCTAAAAAGGTAATAGGAATTTAACAATGTTCTGAGTTTTTGACCCAGATTCTGGAATTCTCTCAAAGATCATTTGCAGCACTGTAGTCATGTAAATTTGAGTTAGGTACAGAAAAGAAACAGTTTTAAGTTCTTAAGAATTTTCTAAACATTTGTAAGTTCTGAATAGTCCAAATTTTACTTTTTTATCTTTGGTTCCTATTTAGTATTATAGGGATGAGTTTGTTCATTTAAACAAATGAATAGCTTTTCCTATACAGTTTTTGTTACTGCTTCATTTAAATTCACATAAATATATGTTGTTAATATCATTTCTTTTCAAATTATATAGGAAGACCAAAAAGATTGTGTTAAGGTTATGAGTTATGTGATCTAATCATTTTTGAAAAGAAATTAATTCATTTTTTAACTGTTTTGATTATTGGAAGTTGATAGTACAAACCACTTTGCTTTCTTCTTTAGTCCTTTATAGTTAGTTGGATTTTTATTCTTATATAGCAATTTCAAAAATAATTAAAAGCATAAACTTATTGTTTATTACAGGCATGTTACATGGAATTGGAAAATTTATAGTAGAAATAATTTGCTGTCGTTTCAGACTTGGAGCCTATAAACCTGTACATTCTGTAAGTGATATTGTATACATGGTGCTGATGTCTAAATAAGAGTATCATTAAGTCTAAATAGTTGCTTTTGGTGCCTGGAAAGAATTTCCCTAGATACAACCTGTGTTTAAAGGAAGTTGTGCAAAGAATAAAACTACGACTGTTTTTTTTCCCCCTCCAGGTCCCCTTCGAGGATGGGCACACAGACAACCACTTACCTCTTTTAGAAAATAATACACATTAGTACCTCCTGAGTGGAGAGAAACTTTTTGCCTGAGACACAAAACCTTTTTTAATAATAAAATATTGTGCAATATACTCAAAGGAAAAATATGAATGAGAACCTGGAAACACACTTATTTAAAAAAAAAAAGAAAAAAGGAAAAAAAACCAAACTGAAATCCTGTAAATGTTGTGTCTGTTACAAAAGTCCTAGAGGAAATTATGGAGCTGGTAGTGATAAGCCCATCTGGAGCGTTGTTCAAAGAAGACTCTTGCTGCTTCCTCAGCAAGTGGACTGTCAGAGTCAGACCCTGCTGCTTCATAACAGAAAGCTGAAGGAAGGAGGGGAGCCCACGTCTAACAAAAGAGCACTGATAAGTGCAAATGTTTGCGTCCTTTTGTTTTTAAAAGATACGATGTAAGAATAAAATATGTAAAACATATGGAAAACTAGTCTAGACTTTAAAAACCTGTGATCAGGTCACACTGTTAATAAAGGAAGACAGGGACTAGTCCCTGTGTTACAGCCATACTGATGTTAAGCCATACTGACAAGTACTTTGATCTTAGGAAGGGAAATGCTTTTCCTTGGACTCAGGGTATTGGCTTCTAACTGTTCAAGATAGGCTCTCCCAGGGGAGGTGTGTGAGCACTATGATATGTAACAGAGATACTGCTTACAGATTGTGTCGTGAAGCTAGATAGGGAGAAGAGAGCACATTTCTAAAGCGGAGGCTGAGTATCCTTATCTCCTCATGGATATTCTCTGAGGATCATGGGCTGAGCAATAAAATGATCCATTCTGATGGAAAGAAATTATCAGTTTGTAAACTATTAAGAGGAAAAATAGAATATTTTATACAAGTGATGAATGGGAACAGGGTAACTTAAATGAAAGTGTGAGCCAAATTTTAGGTATAAGACAGTATCACATCTGAGAGATGCCATATTACAGTATTACAGCGGCCACTAAACTGTAAAGCTGAATTACGAAAGACTTATCGCATTCAGGATGTTCTGAATGTGACTGGTGAATTATGTTAGGTTTGTATTGTTCTAATTTTCGTACTGTTTAAGGGTTGGGTTTAAATTCCAGAATATAAAAGATTAAAATAATGAGAGGAAACTTACATTAAAAGCTGTATTTGTAGTACCTGTGCCAATATCAGTTTTCATTTTGTTATATCAATCCCCTAAGTGTAAATCATTTAGGGAAATAAGGAATCAAGAATCCAGATAGGTAATGAAGGTAAAAGACCAGATTTTAGTCCTTAACAAATAGCAAAGCCAAGCAACTTCATTTGAAGTGGTAGTTTTAGAATCAAGTGTGATGACACAGGCCTGTAATCTCAGCACTGTGGGAGACTGAGGCAGGAGGATCACAGTTTGAGCTCAGTCTGGACACTTAGATCCTGTCTCAAAAGAAAGAAAAGAAAAAGATTTGAGCCCTGATTTCAGTGCCCATTACTGGGGGGAAAAATAGCTTAGAGAGTGACATATCACAAGTTGCAGTTTTTTAAATGAAGAGTTTATGTATAAAAAATATTTAACAAGACAATACTGGTGACAAGAACTCACGACAAAGTGGCTCTGTGATGAGACTTACATAGGACAGCATTTTGCATAAAATAGCAGCCACACCCTTGTTTAGAATGTGCGGTGTCATTGAGAACCACACACTGACTGATTGATAGTGGTGACACAACATGTTTTGAAGGATATTTTTAATCCAGGAAATTCTAGTCACTGGGCCTTCTCTGGGGTTTTATTTATTTTCTTCAAATATTATTTCCCACAGAGTTGGGATAGAAACTAATAGAACATTTCTCAAAATTTTAATTTAAAAAGAATTACTGGTATTTTAGGTACTTCGGACTAACTGTTGGATTGGGTCTTCTGAATTCAGAAATTCAGTCGTTTCAGGTTTTTTTAGATGGAAAAATATACCAATTTAAGATTACTTTTAGGATTATAACAAGTATTAAATTTAAATTTTGATACATGGTTTTTAATTACTTCCATGTTTAATAAATGCCATATTTAATTTTTAATGAAATTTATCCTATTAAAGCTGACTGTAAAGGAATTTCTTTAAAGCAGAGTCCTGCTTTGCCATTGATTTCCATTTCAAACGTTGAGAAAACTTCTATCTAACAACCTTCTAAAATTTATAAGGTCATAGTTTTGGCCCTGAAAAAATGAAAACTCTTTCAGCTCTGTGCACGATGGAACATAACCATGTATTAGAGTTTGCTGGGAGTTTCTGGCCTCCCAAGTGTCTCTTTTCCTTGGTTGAAAGCCCTCCCTGCCCTGTACCTGAGGGTCTCTCTAGGATCCCCCTTCAACTCTCAGTACAGTGTCCTTCTCAGCAGGGTCTTCATGATGTCTGTATGTACATGTTCTGGCCTACATAGTGAAAAGCCTACATGTTTTAAAAACTTGCAGCGTAGTTGTAAACTGTTTCCATGCATTGGCCTGTATGAAAGATGATAAATATTTGAGCAGAGTAACTCACTGTTCAGTTTTTGTATACTTCAGACTACCTCTTAGGAAAAGTTTAGCTCAATATTCATCAGAATTACAAAGTTATTTCTAATTCTGAATTTAGAAAATACATACTTTTTTCAGTTTTTTGGATAGAAATCTTGTCTTTTTATAATTAGTATCCAAATAATTTCTAATCTTTAATGGAATGTTAACTGTGCAATTTGTAAAGAAATTAAGAGCTCATATTTTAATAGCTTAAATAGAGTTATACTGTGTATTTTACATTTTTATGTTATGGGTTAGTAACGTGTACTTTTCCTTCTATTTTGAGCTTTAGCAAACCTTCAGCAAGCCAAAGTGAGCCAGCTGTCAGAACACCATCAGAGTAAAAATGGCAGCAAACCATTTGTTTACTGCTTCTGGTACAAAGAAACCTTGGATTAGTTCTCCGGTACTCCCTTATTGCAATGTTAGGATCAAAATACAGTTTTCCACCTTAAATATTTCTTGTGATGAAATCACCCTGCATTATTTTAAGAGTGGGAAACAGACTGGTTTGGGTTCTCTCTCTTCTTTTTGTAGCTTTTTAAGGAGGGAAAAGAACATATAAAACATTGTCTCAACCAAAAAGTTAGAACCTTAAGTAAAATGACAAATTATAAAATGTTTTCTTAGTTCTTTTAATCCTGATAGGAAATTAAGGTCATGTTACTTCAAAGCAGCCACAGTTCCTCTTAAACTTTTTCTCAGAGGAAAACGAAGAATCTTTAAATATCACTTGGTAATGTTTGCTTTCCCTCCAGATAGAGCTCAATTGCACTGTGGGGGTGGATTTTATACTTTGAAAGATGAAAGATGAAAACTGAGCAGGTGACTTGTGTGTGCCTGCGAACCTGTACAGAGCTGCATACAGAGGAGACTGCAGTTAGTAAAACACTTAGTTTTGTTCTGAAAACTCCTAATACTGGATGTTTAACAGAATTAAGCTAAAACTCAGATATTGTAGCTCACTTGTGGGATCTTACGTAATAATTTGAATGTAAGCCTACTACTAAGAAATGAGAAGGCACAGGGAAAAATACATATACTAATGAAAGCTCTTTCGTAAAGCAGTCCTTACACAACAGTTCATGTAAGTGTAATAAACTGTAGATAGTATTTTATCAGGCCATTACACAAATCACTTTTTTGTTTATATCTACCTTTTTTTAAAATTTCTTTTTTGAGCTGCCAGTCTCAAGCCCTTGAGCATGTTAAACGGGTGCTCTTCCCCTGAGCCATACTCCCAGGCTGAGCTTTTATTTCTGTATTTTTCCAAAATTGACTCGGGTTTCCCTACTTCACATCCCTGCACCTCTGTTCAGTTCCGGGTACAATTAGTATTTCAGGTAGATAGGGGCACACCTGAAGTGCTCCCGTATCACAAGGACGTTCCTGCCTATGTAACACTAGGTCACAGAAGTTCCCTTTGCTGCAGTAATAGCTGTACTTCGTAGGGCATTTCCCTCTCCTCTCTCTTAATTAAAACCAGCAATTGCTAGTGTTGTTCATTTTTATAAATACTTCTAAAAATAATTAAGCAGTGAGCATTTTGTTGTATTTGTTACCTACACACATTCCCAGACAACAGAAGAACAATTTGGAAAACGTAGCCATGTGGGAATTTGCACGATTCCTATGAACTTTAAAAATTATTGATGTTTTTGCAAACTTTAGGCTGGTTTTTATATATGTCGTGAGATACACTGTTTGGATGTTAGGCCTGTCTACTTCAGGTTTCTAGGGATGTAAAGGAAGTGTTGAGGTGATGCCTGGTTAGTATATGATGGTGAGAAATGTTTTTCTGATTGTTGCTCATCTGCCTCATTTTTTCTGGAGTCCAGGAGTGAGTGTCTCTGTAGTGTTTGGTCCTGTATCAAATGTGAATGCAGAAAATGGGCATTCTCAAGACTTGTTTTAAAACATGGGCACTTTTTCTTGTACTCTTCATCTCTTCTCCAAAGGAGAAGATTCTTGCCCATAGCTTAGTATGTACTAGGCATTCAAGTAACTGTTATTTCTGTTATTAAATGCTAGGGACTTTCTTTGATACAGATAGGTAGCTACTTTTGATGCTTAATCATCCCAAGACAACGTTGTGTTATGTCTCTGATACCACAGAACACTCATGTAAATGTAACCATATTGATAGTGTCAGGAAGTAGTGAAGCAGTATGTACCTATACGTTTGTATTTATTTGGTAGTTATTCTGTGATTTGGTTAAAAGAGTTCTTTGAAAGATTATTTCCCTTTTCCTGAGGAGGGGTCTTACGAGGAGATATGCAGTAGTCAGCTGTTAAAGAAACATTAAAGGAGAAGAGAGGATTTCTACTTCAAAGTTTATTTAATCAAAGGTCAAAATGTGATCAGTGGAGTTAATGAATTGATCAAACATACAATAATCAAAAGAGTAAATTCTTAGAACTGTTTTTATCCAATCGCATTGAGTATCGATTTCATAATTTTATCATACCCATAGTTTGTATCCTAACGGCTGTGTCTTAGAAGTATCATGCAGACATCTCAGAGTACTGTCAGCAGTGCTTGCTCAGAGTGGAGTTTTCTGCCATGGAAAGTGGTCCCCAGATTTTAGATTACGTGGGAAAGTCACTTCCCAGAAGAGTTTCCCCAAAATGCCTTCATGGAACTCAGGAGAGTCTCAAGTAAATACCCTCCTGCCCAGAGGGCTGTGTGTACTTTTCAAGTATCAGTAGTTCTTCTAAACATGAGTATAAACATAACTCTATTCTGTTTATGTTTTGTACCTGTGTGATTGTCAACTGGCTGTATAATGATTACTTTTTAATTGCTTGGGTCCCAGACACTATATTTGAATATTATGACATGTTTTTAGCACAAAGAAATGTGATCCAACATGCACTGATCTCAAAATATGAGAAAAGTTGGAATAACAGTTATTAGTGTGGGAATTTGAAAACAGTATAAAGCTTTTACTACTTTGTAATATATGGAAAATATTTTAAGCAAAATAACCCTCTGCGTAAAACTTACCTAATGAAGTCTGCTTTTCTACTGTACATTGTTTCATACAGTTAACATGCAGTTAGAATGGTCAAAACACATCTCTTGTGATCTCCACTTTATAGAAGACTAAAGCTAGAATGTAAGTTTTTATCTGAAATTTTGCTTTCTTTAATAGGAAAGATGAGGTGCCTTTTTTTTATTCTAATGTATGAGCTTTTCCCTCCCCATTTAGCCTCTCTAGCTGAGGCCCCAGTAAAATAAGCTTAAGTATAAGGGCTTCAAAACTTTCATGAACAAGATAACTGTCAAGATCATCAGGAAAGCCCGGCGTGATGGTGCACAGCTGTAATTCCAAAATTTGGGAGGCTGAGGCAGAATTGTCACGAGTTTGCGGCCAGCCTGAACCACATTGCAAGACCCTGTCTCCAAGAAAATAAGATTATCAGGAAAACTAGTGATTAAAAAGATGTAGAGTAAAAGTTGCTCCACTCTGAGAAGCCATTGATTTTGACGTACAATAAGCTAGAGTTCCCAGTACAAATGTTTAAGTCCTCCTACTATATGCATTTACACTACTTACTCATCTTTAGACTGAAGTGTATGTAGTTAAAAATGGTAAATGTGAGCCCACTTTTCTCTCCCACCCTCCCACCCCACCACCCCAGCAGGATTTAGACATTTCCTGTGGCAGTAACTTCTCACAGCCTTTGCAAAGCTGTTGAGAGCACTGTTCCTCATCTTGATTTCCAGGGCTCTAAGGTCAGTTCTGCCTATTTTTAAAGCTTATTTTGGCTTTTACCCTGTGTCCATGTTTACTGAGTTGAATTGTCTTAAAGAGAAAACAAAAGCTAAATGTAGAACAGTGGTAGCACTTTCATGTTTAATATGCAGGAGCACAGAGTGGCAAGAAGTCATCTGGACGTGCCTTTTTCATAAAATATGTATGGTGATAGCTGGGCTTATGACTGACTTTCACTGAAATAAAAAGAATGTACTGTTAAGAAATAGGGCTGAATACATAGCCATGTATTTGCCACTGGGTAGCGTGGGCATGCTCCTTATTACTTCCTCATCTTGAGAACCACAGTTCACTGCTTTAAAGGTATCCAAGGGGGCCAGACAAAAGGTGACCACTGCACATCCTTAGAGCTTGAGTGTGCTGGATGCCCTGAAGTAGGACAGGAACTTGGAACAGAAGCTCACGATGAAGAACCAGACATTCCGTGCCGTCTGCCATCTTGCAATGAGCAGGCGCCAGATGATAAGAAAGAGGGCGATGTTAAAGAGGTAGTGAATGTTTCGGAGCCTGGGGACAGAAATAAGCAGAGTTAACACGTACCAAGCACCTGCCTGTTTGGTCTGGAGCACACGTGTCTTCGGGCTGTGAGCAGCAGACACTGGTTAAGTACACAGTGTGTGTTGACTTGATGGCCTTTTTGGTTTCTGTATTTTCCCACAACATTCCTTTGAATAATTAGATTTCTACCATATTTCCCTAGTTTTTCTCCTATCTGCCTCTACTTGAAACTGTTTAAAAAATATCAGCATAACTGCTTTAAAAATACACTTCACCCTCAATACAACATTATGACTTCCGCTGGTATTCACTGGAGTGAATTCTAAAGTTCTTCGCCTGCTTCTCAGTCCTCTGCAATATGCTCTTCATGCTTACCTCTGCGCTACACACTTCCCTTGTCCCAGAATTACCACCTGTGCACTATAATTCTTCATCCCTCGAGTTAGGAGTCAAGGAAATGTAAAGAAAGAATTGAAAGCAGGTTAATGACACCCCACATCCTCCCAAGATCCTGTAGCACAACCAGGTCCCCTGTCTTTTAGGTAGCCTTTATGTCATCATAGGAAAGTAGTAGAAAAACAGAAATTTGTGTTGTACACTGGCTCCTTCCTCACTGTGCGTTACCATGGACAAGTTCCTGGCTTTCTTTGAGACCTGCAATAAACATGCGGTAACAAAACCAGTACTTGGCCTCGGGAGCAGGGAGGTGTAAATAAAGCAGTGCGATCGCTATAGGACAGCACGGAAGGCAGGACTGCACTGAATGCCTAAGGGTTTATTCCTCCCCCGACCCTGCTTGAGATTCACCTGCTGTGAAGTCAGCTTCATGATCAGTCTCCATAAGCACTAACCGTGCTTACCTTTTTAAGTGTTGCCTGGCCTCGGGGACCCCTGCCATGTCCTCTTTCAGCAAATACTTCTTCACCCCCACGACATAGTTCTCGATATACTCCAGCCAGTTCAGCTGGCGCACGTCGAAGTTAAACATCTGCAAGGGAAGAGAGTGTGGGCTGCTGGAGCGGCCCTGCAGGGCTGCTACTGACCGCCCGGGGAAGCTTCACGGAAATCCGGGCATTCAGCTTGGGAGACACAAGTTGGATGCCACCAAAACAGGGATTATGGGCGCTGTTACTTCAGGAGTGCTGATAATATGCATTACTCTGCATACAAACATTTAAACATGGGCTGAGCCCCAACCATGGGCATTAGGAAGTCTGAAGAAAGCTTAAGGAACCTGGTGTTACTTCGTCTGGTGACAGCTTGCAGTTGGCTGGGTATACATTCTCAGGTACACGAGGAACAATTATTTTTCAAGTAGTGATGGGATAATATGTTAGTGACCAAAACTAAATTTCTTTCCATTCCTCTCCCTGAAGCCTACCATACTCTTCTACCCACGACATTGCATTCTTTGGCTGGGCGTAAGCTTCCTAAGCAAAGCCTTGAGGGGTGAGTGAGCAGGATTTGCTCCTAAAGCCAGTGCAGGACAGGTCGGCAGAGGGAGGAGGAGGTGCAGGGAGAGGAAGGGCTGCCTCAGTGATGTAGGGAAAGAGGTCTTAACTTTGCTCTTCTATGATTACAAATGCATTCTCTGGTGTGTTATCGAATAGCTAAAGATCTGAACTGCTTTTGATTTTATTTCTGCAATGGTGAGATAGGCTCAGAAGAGGAACCATCTTTTTTTTTTTTTTTTTTGGTAGTGATGAAGAATGAATCCAGTGCCTTTAGCATTGAGCTACATCCATAGCCTTTTTCAAATTTTTAATTTTGAAACAGTTTCTCTGCATTTGCTAAGTTGCCCAGGTTGGGTTCAAACTGCAGCCCTCCTGCCTCAGCCTCCAGGGTACTGAGATGACAGGCCTGTGTCATGATGCCCTTCTTTAGATGGAGATAGGATGGAGTGGGAAGAGAAAGCTCATAGCCATCCTTGAGTCATCTACTTGTCTTTTCCAATTCTCCATAAAATGAGCTTAATAGGTGAGGTGGAGAAAGGAGCTTCAAATCTACAAACATTATTTTCCCCTGAACATGAGAACTTGGGGCAGTAAAAGTTGTTACACAGAGGAAAGAGTGAGACACTGGTGGTGCTGGAAGTGCTGAAGTATTAGGCACTTCCTGAAGGCTTTGGGCATAACCGTGTTGGAGTAACACAAAGACTGCATTAGACAGCACCGGTCTCCACACTGGGTGGGTTTGGTATTAGAAGTTTTTCATTGCTTTACTTGTAAAGAATGAAGAAAAATGAACTGCTAGTATGGAAAGAATGGTTCATTTAACAAATCTTAGCAAGTAGGAGTTTTTTTTAAGGAGCCTGAGTCCTCCCCATTGGGATCCTTTCATGTTGGACACACAGAGCTCTCAGACCAACTTTCGCCTATTAAAAACCTATTCTCAAGTCCAGGCCAGGCATGGTAGTGCACGCCTGTGATCCCAGCACTAGGAAGGCTGAGGCCAGAAGATTTCTGTGAGTTTGAGGTCATCCTGGACTACATAATGAGACCCTGTCTTAAAAAAATCAAAAAACTAACCAAACCAAAAAAAAAAAAAAAAACCCACCTCTATTTAGTAGGAGTTTTGGCTCTTGTACAATGAAGTAGAGTTAATTAAACCTGATTAAACTTCCAGAGGCCTAAGAAAGGATTTAATCTTAGTAGCAAAAAACACCTTAATTCAAATCAGTGATGATCCAAGAACAATGACTGGTACAGTGCAGGCATTTAGTAGGTACTTGCTGAATACATGAATTCATTATAGAATTTCAGTCAATTAATTTTAATATTAATCTTATTTGTTTATTCTTGTGGTGCAAATGGGCCTATGCATGCCATGCAGGTGCTATGCCACTGACTTACACCCCCAGATTAATTTTAAAAACTGAGAACTTCTTTATTCTATAGCACATTGTCTTACATTGTCTTACTTGATCTTTACATAGGGTTATATGGATATCCCCAAATTAAACTTAGTTTCCTTTTTTTCAGACAGCTAGTCTTTGGTGGAGGCTTTGACTGTACTAAATAAAAGGCATAAATTGTCAAAACAAAACAATCATTACTAAAAGTCAAATTTATTGACTTTAAAATGGCCATGCTACTTCCTGAGAACCTTCTAGGTATATTTCCATAACATGCATCTTTCCTCATGATGAGCTTTTTCCTTACATCTTGGAAATAGTAAATATCTAAAGAATATCATGAGTTTGGTATCTTAAAGATTTAGTACTTTTCTAGGACTCCGTAATTCTCCCTTCTTTATGTGCAAATAAGAATGTTATGTATTAATCATTCAGAGCCATCTTAGACCTGGGAGGCCATAACAACCAAATACTGATATCCCTATTTGACAGTAGAAGCATTCAGTGAGCATTTACTTAATGAACCAGCCCTTTGCTGATTTATGAACCCTTTGTGTTTGGTTAGTCCTTTCAACTTTCATGAGAGAACATGACATGAAATAGCTTTTTAAAAAGTTGTTACTGTATTTGCTTTAGATATAGCATCCATTATTTCTCTTAGCCATTAGAGGAAGCACTTCACAAACATTTCAATTAGAGTTAAATGCTGAGAAAAGCTTTGTTTTGCTTGGAACACAAGTACATTTTCTCTGGTATTTGTGAATTTTGGAATATGCAAAGCTTTTAGGGTTTAACCTTTGTGTGACTGCCCAGAAGCTACAGAAATAAATGGTGCTAACGTCAAACAAAGTGACGGTCTGTGTTGAGAAACACAATGTGTAGTACTGAAGAAACAGCTGGAGGCAGCCTGGCGGGAGGGACGGCCTTCATGGGCAGGGTGGCGGGGAGGACACGGAGGGCAGGACGGCCTTTCTCAGGACGAGGGCAGAGCTGACCTTGGTGCACAGAGACCTCAGTTCTAATCGTAAAGAACATGGGGGACGGGCAGGTGAGCGATGCAACTTTCCCACAGAAGCCATGGAAGTACAGAGAGGCGTGTCGAGAAGATGACACGGGACGGAGGAGGGCACCACCACGCAGAACAGCGTCGCAGACTTCCCTGAAGTCCAAGAACCTAGGGCTCTCACGGGCATTAAACACATTTCCTGGGATGGTACTGATAGCCCTGCCTGGTTTTCTTAGCAAAAGTAAGATAAAATACCGCCCCCCTCCCGACCAAAGCTTCCCTCATCAACCTGACAGGTAAAATAACCAAGTCCGCCCCGTGTGGCTTCCTGCTACTGGCAGCCTGGCTGTACTCACTCTCTGGTCCTCGGGACTCAGCATCGACATCAGCATCTCTGTGTTGTGCGTGCTCCACTCCCAGCTGTGGTTGATGAAGTACTCCAGCATGGAAATGGTTCTGAGAAGCCGGTTCATGAGCTTCGTCACCCTGCGGGAGAGGTTGGACGGGAGCAGATAGCAGCACGCACGCGTGGCCTCTTCCCTCTCAGTGTGTAAAGACGGTGACAAATTCTTTTTAAGAAAATCTTTTGTTTCATTAACCCTCTGTACAGGAAGGAGAGGAGCAGACTCTAACGGCATTTTAAAACAGCCAACCATTTACCTGCGTACTCCTACTGTTCATTTACTGAATTCTGAGGTAGACGGTTGGAAGCTTTGTTTCTCCGTATTGTATGTTCTTGGATTTTTTTTTAATGAGTAAGATGTAAGACTGTAGTACATAACTTGGCAAAAGTGTTGACTATCCTGCTATCTGATGAACAAAAACAATTGTTAATTGTAATGCAGATTTCAGGAGAAAATAATTTACTGTTGATAACCTACTCCATTAGGTATACTGCTGATACCTCTAAAAATATTATCTGCTAATTTTCCTAACATCGTGATCAGTAGGTGTTTGTCTCCGTTTTTATTAATGGCTAACACACGCTTAAGGCTAGATCGGAGCTAAAATTCCAACCCAGGTTTTTTTTTTTTTTTGTGGCACCAGGAATCGAACTCATGACCTCGCACTTGCTAGGCAGGCACTTGCGCCACTGAGCTATATCCTTGGGCCCTCCAACCCAGCTTTGACTGAGCTCAAAACACGTTCGCTTGTGTAATCTCACTACCTGTGTTCCATTGCTTACAAAGGATCACATCTTCCAAGCCAGTGCTCAGAATTTGAACCAGTTCAAATGTGTGAACTGCCCAAGTTCATAACAACTTATAAAAACCTTTCGTAGGTGTTCTTAATGGCTCCACACAATAAAACTGTGAGGTAGTCAGTTCTTTGTATTCATTTTACAGAAAGATTATGTTCAAGGTCACATAGCTGGTGTTCCAGCTGAGTTCTCTTAGCTACATGTCACCTTGGACTATCGGGAACACTGGATTTTTGTCTTAGCTAAGCCAAGCTTGGTAGGAGTGATTGTGATAGTGGACTTAGTAATGGCTGATGCTGTTCTGAAGGTTTGGTCTTATTTCTGGTTAAATTCTAATGTCCATGCACCTAATGATTCCTGAGATACTGCTCCCACTGTGTCATCAGAAATTTCCTTGCTACAAGTACCAAAATAGAGTTCATAACTCCATTATCCATTTTCATTCATGCCCCAACTCTGGTGCAATGGATGTGATTCCAACAGATTTAATTTTAAAAATAATGCTTATACAGTGTAATCATTGTATGTAGGGGACTATATCAGCCTCATGGTATTTTTTTTAAGAAAAAAAATATATGTTATGTTCAGGAAAAACTATAAAGGAAGAGAATGATTCATTTTACCACATAACAATTCATAAAACTTCTTTAGTAATAATAGTGATTATATAGTCTAAGCATTTCATGAAAATCCCTGTAAAGTAGATGTATGGTAGATATATTCCTGTCCCCTTTCTGCAGAGGAGGAAGTTGGACTTCTGAATTATGGAGAAATTTTAGGGCTTGTATGGTTAGCCTGGTGGAACCCAGATTTGAATCCTGTAAGTCTGACTCTAAATCCCATGCTGTTAAGCTCTCTACTATAGGCATACTCACTTGTGCTATAAAAAGCCTCATCATCAAAGCTAAACAATAAAAAAGAGACTTGAAGAAAACACATGAAATATACATTCATAAGACATACACTAAAGTTTCCTTAAATTAATAAGGACGTCTCACTAGAAAAAATAGGCAAAGAATGGAAGCAGCCAACTCACAGAGAAGAAACCTTGAAAGCCCAATAAATCAAATTCCAGCTGCTCCAGCGGTCAGGCAAATAAAAATCTAACAATGAGATTTAATTCCTCATAAGTTTGACAGAAGATCGATTCTTGGCAAGTAGTAACAAGGGAGAGAACCACATACTCTTTTGTACTCATGACAGTGCCAATTTGCAGTCTTCAGGGCAAAAAGTCTACATCCCAGCAATCTCAGCCCTCAGCCTCCTCCCCAGACGCAGGAGCCTGTTTTGTAAACAGCCCAAAGGCACACTGATAGCTATTGGCCTACTTTTTTGTTTTTTTGTAGAAGGAGGAAGAGGAAAGAGCTGGGCATGACAGAATGACAGATTTTCAAGAAAAACTGGTGAAAAAGTTCAAGACTATGATTTATGTGCAACACACACACCTCTGCCTCATAGCAGGAATACATTCAGAAATGTCCATATATAGATGTAAAAGCATGGAAACTTCCGTACAACCGTATCAGAGAGGAAAAGGGGTTAGACAGATTTTTGCTTTTTCTGCCATAAAGATTACTGTTAAAGTTCATACTACAAAGCAACTCATTTTCCAGCAAAATTTTTCATGTACAAAATATACATGTTTATTACCTCTCCCTCCCGCGTCTTTCATGAGCTACTGAACCTCTTTATCCAGGCCTCCTTTTGATTCTGACCTATTCTGAAAGCCCCAAATTATTTTCCCAGTCTTTATCCTACTCAAGAAGAGCTGAGTTATAAGCTCGAAAGGAGGCCTCTGGGATTGGATAAGGTGCAGTCCCCAAAAGGCCAGTCCCTAAAAAGGCCAGTCCCCGTACCAGCTTCTGGACGGAAGCCACGGGCTGATTCTTAACCACATAACTGCCTTTGGTAATTATAATGAGCACCCCTCTGACATACAAAATATCGTTCAGATGAGACAGAGATAGAGATGGGTCCTGAGCCCACACACCACGTGATGGTGACAGAGCTGCATTCACACCAGTATGCTTTGCGCCTAGGTGCAGTCAGTCCCGTTCCTACCGCTGGTTTGAGAGTGCTTTATCCATGTCTTTCCTCTGCCACATCCTCTGGACTAATATTGATTCCTCCCTAGCTTCTGTGTCCTTCCCTGTCTCCCTAGAGTGTGGGAATGACAGTGGGTCCCCGAGAGGACCACACAGGGAGCTCTCCTCGGTAGAGCTGTCGCAGTTCTAGTTCTCGTGAACTATTTGGAAAACCCAGTGACAAGGTCTCAGTTGCTTTTCTTTTTGAATGGATTATTAGTTGCTGAATGTATCAGGCAAGTTTCTTCATGTTATTTTTAAAGATTATGTGGGAGGATTTTTAATGCAGCAGTGAGTTGTGACTTCTCACCTGCCCAGTACTGGGAATGGAACCAAGAATCTTCACCTGGAGCTACAGCCCCAGCCATTATTATTGTTATTGTTGTTACTTTATTCATTTATTTTGAGGCAGGGTCTCACTAAATTGCTCAATTGTCTAGGCTGGGTTTGAACTTGCAATTTTCTTGTGTCAGCATCCCAGAGTTTTGGGATTACAGGTGTGTGTCTTCACGTCTGGTTGCTTCTCCTTTTGACCCAATAACTCTGTGTGCGTGTGGCATGTGTGTGCATATGCATGTGTGCATGTGTGCATGCTCACGTATGCATGTGTGTGAGGCACTCCATTGTCTCCTTTGACCCTCACAGGACAGCGGGCTACAGACGCTGAGCCCTGGCGCACCCTTCAAGGTGGTACCCCAGCCCCTCACCTGGGCTTCCTCCCTGTGAGCCGCAGGTAGACGTCGTAGATGATGGCAGGGGCCCGGTGGCTGACGGCATTCCAGTAGTGGGTCGTGAAGCTGGTGGCTGTGAAGTCAGCCTTTGGCCTCCTGAAAGCTTTCTCAAATGGGACCTTTTCAAAGGTTGCCAAGACTTGTAATCCTGAGAAAAAAGAAAAAGAGCTTAGCTTCAGGTCATAGAAGCCCTTCACACTGGTAGACGTCTACAGTGGATCAAAGTAATGAAGAAGACCAAGGCTCTGTGGTATAGAGTCAAGGCTCAACTTCTGAGAAGAACTTGGTGACTTTTATGCTGGGCAAATGGTTATCTGCAAATCAAATGATGTAAAGGAGCTGAGAATCGAGTTTTTTCTTGAAACAGTTACTGTCAAACAAATTCTTGGGAAAACAGTTTCATACAATACAGGAACTGAACTTCACCCATCATTCAATCCCAGTGTTATTTAGGCTATCTGGAAAGACCCAAGACAGAGGCTAGGGGCTTTCCTGAATTGGGTCATTACTTAAGAGTCACAGGGAATTTCTTAACAGGTTAAGCTTTCTTAAAGTTAAACTTTCTTTTTTTTCTCTCTCTCTCCTTCCTTCTGTCCTTTCCTTTTCTCCTTCTTTTCTCCTTCCTTCCTTCTTTTGTTTTTGTTTTTTGAGGTAAGAGTCTCACTTCGTATGTAGGTTATTAGCCCAGGATATACTTGAACACACAATTCTCCTGTCCCATCCTCCTGCATGCTGGGATTACAGCCGCGTGTCACCATGTCTGGTTAAATGTTCTTAAAGTTTACACTTACATGAGTGTAAAAGGGGGGTTCCCTTACACTAATTCACTTTAAGTACCATAGTCTTTTATTTCTTTGGAATTTCTACTTTTCTGGGACATTACACTTAATTTTCCACTATACTCTCCAGGGTTTTTTTAAAAAATAATTTTTATTTCTATATAATTAAGCTTAAAACTTAGTTTAAGATTTTTTGGTACATTCAGTAGTTCTCTTCAAATGATATTCATTTAAGTTCAATTTTAATTTATATAGATTTTCATAAAGAATGTACCCACATTCATTGTTTAATTGTGATAATATGATTATTGCTTTCCTGCAAAAGATTTCATCCAGAAACCTATACAAAAAATACAGACCTGATTCAGAGAAGAAATATCTGGCCCACAGACATATTTGAAAAAAAAAAAAAAAAAAGCACAGTTTATAGTATAGGCAATTCCAACACTAATATAAACTTTCTGGTCTATAGGTCCATATACTTGTTCAGAATTTCTACATGGATACGTAATAAACAAAACCACTTTTAATAGCTCTAAAAGTTGACCTTTTGATATTCTCACTATCAACCACCTCATTCCCCATATATACACCAAACTTTCTTCTCTAACAAAATCCTACTTCAAAGTGATAATTCAGTATTTTTCAGTAGTTCAGTCAAAAACACTGGAGTCATCCTTATTCTTTTCTTTAAAAACCCTCATACAATTGAACACAGAAATCCACTAGCTTTCTCTTTTAAAAACCCAGAGTCACGATCTCTACTGCTATCTGATAGGAGCCATCACCATAGCTTGGAAGATTATAGTACTGTGCTCAACCATCTCCTCCACTATGTGCTCCTACAGTCTGCTCTCCACAGAGCAGCTGGAGTGATTCTCCTGAAATGTAACCGAGGGCGCATTATTTCTCTGTTCAGAACCCTTCAGTGGGCTCTGCTCGCATTCAGAGGGAGAGGCAGACTTCCTCTGGTCAGTGAGGCCTCACACTCCCTGCACCCTCACTCCCTCTGCCCCAAAGTCCGACTCATCTCCGCCCTTCTCCCTTGCTGCTTCTGCTGCAGCCACAGAAGCCTCTTTGCTACCCTGGGACATAAAGGAAGAGCTTGGTGCATGTTGCTTCAGCTCCGCACATCACTTCTTACAGGTCTCTGCCAAGATGTCACCTCAGCAGGATGCCTTCCTTGACACCACACATCAAACAGAAAGCTCATTTTGTTTTTCACTGTTAAGTTTTAAGCACTTAACTATATCTGATTTTATATATATATATATAAAATTTCTCCCTACCAGAACATAAACACTATGAGAATAGAATTTTGTTTTTGTCAATACCTTACAAAGTGTTTGACAAGTGATTTGACTAAATGAGTGACTATCTCAGAAACAAATAATTATTTTCTATTTCCCTAAATCTATCCTGGCTAGTTATTCCAGTAACATCTCTGTAAGCACTTAATGCTTTCCAGGCACTGTAGTAGGTGCTGGGAATATATATACTTCTTGACCTCAAGGAATTGGCAGTCTGGCGGGAGATATGGACAATTAATGAACTGAAATGTTGCACGTGGCGGGTGCCAGAGGGCACCACAGTGTGCTTTGGAGGACTACATGGGAAGCATCTAACACTGTGTGGGTATAGGGGTTAGGAGAGCTTCTGGAGAAAGCTATCTAAATGACCATAGCGAACATCTGCTGAAATGTATATCATCCCAGCCACTGTGCCCAGAACTCAGTAAATCCTTCCAAACACTCTCAAGTAGAATAATTATTATTCTCATTTAATCAACCTATAAGTAGAGATTCGGTGATTTTTCCCAAGTTCCTCTAACTCGTAATTAATGGAGTCTAGGAAATGGTAGGACTTACACCAGCACATTGTCTCTATGTGGAATGAGTTTTTGTCTGCTTAGTGCTATATCCCCAGCACCATGAAAAATGCCTAACAGTGAATGCAGGAGTAAATAAGTGAGCTACAATTTGAATCCAGGTACTGGATCTCTAAACTCATTAAGCTACACTCTAGGTGCGCACATATATCAACAGGTTCTGACAACCTCAAAGCTTTCCTCAATCCCAAAGTGCACCTCCCTCCTGCTACATCCCATCCTCGCCCCCACAAACATCTTCCTAAAACCCTCAGCTCCAACACTTCAGCCCAACTAACAGACCTCCAACAGAATCTGATCCCATATCCATTTTCTCACCTAGTACCATTCCTTCTCTCTACCTCTCCCCGTGCTGACCTAGACTCCTCCCGCTTTACCCATCCCTCCACTTCTCCATCCACACTAAAGGTAGGCTACGAAGAGTACTGAACAAGCGTGAAAGTATAAATGCAAAGTCTACGTGAAGGATAACTGAATCTGTGATGTTGTCATAACCACAAATAATTGCTTCCTCAGAACACAGGGACACAGTCCAAATCACTTACATTAAGTACCTGAATCGGTGTCTACTATCTTTGGGAAAAGCTGAAAACAAATCACAGGAAGGCAGTATTTTATTAAAAAGATCATATCAATTATAAACTCTCCTCACTTGACCTCAACTTTCAGCACCAAAAAAGAAATGTGTGTGGAGGAAAAAACTATACACATGGGAACATGAGAAAACGGGCAAAAAAGGCCCCCAAGGTCTCCCACCTTCCCCAAGGCATATCCAAGGGGTACCCATGGAGAGGAAAGCAAACATCAGGGAGCAGAGCTTTACAAACTGACTAAAGAAGAGTTAAAGAAACTCGGCGAGTTCAAAGAGGACTTGACCCAAAAGTTTATGGAAGTATCACACAAAATGACCAATGTGGATTTTGGGGAAATAAATAAAAACTTGGAAGAGATGACCAAAATGGTTTTAAAACAAGTGACAAATTTACTAAAGATACAGAATCTAAGAAAAAAATCTCAGAAATACTAGATATAAAAGATTGTATAGAATTCATAAATTGCAGAAATGACCAATGTGAAGATGGTTTCTAAAATCATGCACAAAAGACAGCACACATAGAATAATACATTTACAGAAATCATAGTAGAAAACCTCCCAAGTATGAGGAAAGAATTCAACATAAAAAGAAGTGAGACCTACAGAATACCAACTACAATGAAAAAGAAGCTCTCCATGACCCAATATAATTACAATGCCAGATGTTCAACAAGAAAACAGAATTTTAAAAGCTATCAGAGAAAAGCAAAAAATCACATAAATTTAAACCGATCAGAACTACAGGTGACTTCACAGCGAATTTTAAAGACCAGAAGAGCTTACAGTGAAGTATTTCAGGCCCTAAAAACAAATAACTTTCCACCCAGATTAACATATCCAGCAAAACTTTCCTTCAAAATAGATGGAGAAATAAGAACTCCATGAAAAAGAACTACTCAAGAAAGGTATGAATTCCAAACTAGTACTCTAGAAAATACTCAAGAATATCCTAGACAGATACAACAAAGCCAACAAAGCAAAAAATCCAGATGGAATGAATACATCAGCCAAGCAGAGTAGATTAAGAAAAAAAGGAACAGAAAAAGGAGTCATCAACAGAAGAAGAATGCAGGGCTAGGAATTACTCTATACCTCTCAGTAATATTTGTCAAGGTTAATGACCTCAGCTCCCCAGTTAAAAGACACAGATTGGAAGACTATATCAAAAAACAGAATCCAACAGTCTGTTGCATTCAAGAAACTCATCTAATACAAAAAGATATCTATTGCCTAAAAATCAAAGAATAGAAAATAGTATTTCATGTACAAGTACCTCTAAAACAAGCAGAGGTAGCAATTTTACTCTCAAAATAAACCTCAAGCTAAAACTGATCAGAGGAGACAAAGAATGTCACTACATACTATATGAAACTAATTCAACAAGAAGAAGTAACATTTGTAAATTTGTATGTGCTGAATACTGGAGCACCTATAAGACAAATGCTGCTGGACATAAAAGATCAAATAAACACTAACATAATCATAGTGACCTCAATACACCACTTTTGCAAAGAGATCAACTATACAAAACATCCATAAAGAAATATCAGAGCTGAACCACACTCTTGAACATATGGACTTAATATCTACAGAGTGTTCTACCCTAATACAACAGAGTACAAATTGTTCTAGGCAGCACATGGAACTTTCTGCAAGGCAGACCATGTACTAGTCTACAAAGCCTGCTCAAAAAAAAAAAAAAAAAAAAAAAGAATTGCAATCACTTCATACTTACTACCAGACCATTGTGCAACAAAACTAGAAAACAAAACTAGAAATCACACAAGAAGAAACCACAGAAGAAACCACAGAAGAAACCACACAAAATTTAGGAACACCTGGAAACCTTTTTTTTTATTTTAAAAATAAAAGGAGGAAAACATTAACAGACAGACAACCTTTTACAAAATAGCAAAAGAACAGTACAGACAATATAGAGTTACAAACAAAGTGGTAGGAAATCAACAATGATTATTGTATTACATATTGGTATCTTGAAAGTGGTTTCTCATGAAAACACATAGAGACATGCAATATTGATCAATCAAGGACTCATAAACTTATAAAACAAGGACCTGGAAACTCAATACAACTCCCTGAACATATGAGTCACAGAATAAATCAAAGAAGCAATTAAACATTTTCTGAAAGCAAACAACTTATAGGACATAAAGAAAACAGACCTAAGAGGGAATCTTATTGCAATCAATGGTCACATTAGAACAACAGTGAGCTTAAAAAAATTAACCTAATGAGGTTCCCCAAAATGCTTGAAAATAATAACAATCCAAGCCCAAACCAAAATTAAGGAGGGAAATTATAAATAGCAGAGCAGAAATTAGTGAAATTGAGACTAACAAAACAATACAAATTTTCAACAAATTGAAGAGCTGGTTCTTTGAAAGAATAAACAAAATAGATGAACTCTTAGCCAAACTTCCCCATAAAAAAGAGAAAAAACACTTACGTCAATGCTATGAGAAATGAAAAAGGCAAACTCACAATAGACACCATCTAAATCCAGATGATAGTAACTATTATGAAAAAATTTATTCTAAAAAATTAGCAAATCTTGAAGCAATGGATGGATTCCTAGACTCATATGAATTACTGAAACCAAACCAAAAGAATTGCTTTGAACAATCCAATAATAAGCAATGAAACTGATGTAGTAATAAAAAATCTACCCTTTGTTTTGTTTTTGTCTATGTTGTTGGCATTTTGCTATTGCTCTTTTTTTTTTTAACACATTCTCTTTAAAATAAAAAATAATTTAAAAAATAAAAAGCAGATTTGAAATGAAGGAAAAAAAAAAAACTACCAACTAAAAATAGTCCAGGACCTGCTCAATTCTCCAGATCTCTAAGGGCATTGTGTCATCAGTAACACTCAAACTCTTCAATGAAACAGAAAGGGAACGAGTCTTCCAAACTCATTTGTGGAAGCCAGCACCACTCTGACCCCAAAGCCAGATAACGATAGAACTGAAAAAAAAAAACAAAACAAAACTACAGACCAATCTCCTTAATGAACATAGATGCAAAAACTCTCAATAAAATATTGGCAAATAGAATGCAGTAAATCATTAAAGGGCTCGGCTCTCCAGCCCTTGATCACTACATTCGCAGGAGTTCACCAACGTAACGTATACAAAAGCAGTTGCCCAGCAGGAGGAGTATTGTATCACTGATGCTGCTTACTTTTGCTTGATTTTGTTATTGGTTTTTAATGTCTGTAGCTAGTCAACTCCTTATTCTGTACAATCATGCACCCGTTCCACCCTCTGTTCTCTCTGCAGACTACAATACATTCTAGTTAATTATGACATATTTATCATTTCAACCATTCTGTTTCTTATTGTTTCCAGCTTTCTCCCTGACTGGGGTCTCAGCTCCATGACCCATGCTGTCTGTGTATCTTTGAGACAAACACTGGTGGCTCTGTGCGTACATTACCAGACATACTTACCCATTTTGAGCCAGTTACAGGGGTTGAGATTACCAGACGTACAGTGGTAGATTAATGTTGACTTAGGTCTGCAAGATGAAATAAAAATGATATAAATACAACAAAATGGAAAAGTAATGAAAGAGAAATAAGAGGAAATAATTAGACAGAATGGTTTCCAAAACTTCCAAGACTAAAGCAGTCTATTAAAAAGTCCTATCTTTTATCTCTTGTTTGGGTCAATAGGCAAAATGGAAGAAGATTTGGAAAACACTAGGTGTATGTACAAGACAACAGGTATGAGAGACTGGGGATATAAGTCTGAGCTCATATAAGAAAATTTTAATTCTGTTTATCACTTACTAGCAGAGCCAAATAAATAAGCAACCTACTTTTCCCCTTCATATTAGGAAATTCCCCCCCAACACAGTGACCTACACTTTTGGCATTTACCAGAAACTGAACAGTTCATTGAAATATAAAATATGCTATCAGTTGATCAGTTTTCATCATATCTTTACGTTAAAAAGAGAAGCGGTAGCAGCATAGATTACTGAACAGAAGAAATATTTGGGGTATCAAGAATTTCATGGTATGTGATTTTCAGAGTGCACTATTTTATGATCAACCAAATGCAAAGCAGTATTTATGCAACAGCTCAATGCATAAATGGTGGTATCTTGGGAACTATATAAAACATTGAAAGAAACACTTCATTGTACTAGAGGTCTTCTACAATGAAGTGCCTCTATTTTGAAAATGCACCTAACATACTTACTCCTTTCCTCATCAAATTTTTGAAAGATCACTTGAGCACCCATACCTGTGCACTGCAGTGTACCAGCCTGCTGCTAAGGTGAGATTGACAACTGTATCTGCTGGGATTAAATCTGCAATGGCCATTGGAGTAGCTTTGATGGCCCGAAGAAACCCTTTCCCAGCCTGCACAGGAAACAGAAGAACCGTTAGTAAAATAGCTGATATTAATTTGCTGCTATTTACTAGATGACTATGCTATATATTACCTCCCAGCATATCCAGTTTGCCCAGCCAAATTAACTTCAAGCGCCACCATTTCTGGGAACCACTAGTGGCTGTTGGGTTCCTTTAGGGAATAAAATTACTCAAAGTTCTAAGAGTTAATATACTTAATTAAAAAACGTCTGCACAGTAAAAGAAACAACCCAGAGTGAAAAGAAAACCTACAGAATGGGAAAAAATTTTGGCCTGCTACTCCTCAGAGGACTAATATCTATAATATATAAATAACTAAAAAATATTAGATTCCCCCCCAAATAAAAGAGCCAATCAAAACATGGGTATGTGAAATGAATAGACACTTCTCTGAAGAAGTGCAGATGGCCAATAAATACATGAAGAAATGCTCAACAATGATGGCCATTAGAAAAACACAAATTAAAGTAACTCTGAGATTCCATCTTACCCAGAAAGAATGGCTACAATCAAGAAACCAAATAATAACAAATGCTGGTGAGGATGTGGGGAAAATGGGAATATAATCTGGTATAACCACTATGGAAATCAGTATGGAGAGTCCTCAAAGAAACTAAAATTAGAATTTCCCTTTAATCCAGCTATTCTCCTTTTAGGTATCTTCTCAAAAGAGTTAAAGACATTGTATTACAGTGATCTATGCACCCATGTTTATAATAGCATAGTTCATAATAGCTAAATTTTGGACACGGCCTGTATGCCCATCTATGGATGGGTGGATAAAGAAAACGTGGTATTTACACATAATGGTGTACTATTATGGCATAAAGAAAGATAAACTTGAGTCATTTGTAGGAAGATGGGTGCTTACCTTGCAACCATAATATTAAGTGAAATAAATCAGACACAAGCTTAAATATTGCATGGTTTCTCTTACACGAGAAACTCAAATTATAAAATAAAATGTATTACATATTGATATCTTCAAAGTGGTTTCTCATGAAAACAGATAGAGACATGCAATATTGATCAACCAAGGACTCATTGACAGTTTCTTTCAGCAAGGAAACAGGAGACAGTAGAACAACTAATACAACAAGCACTGTTAATTTCCTACCACTTTGTTTGTCACTCTGTATTGTCTGTACTGTTCTTTTGCTATTTTGTAAAAGGCTGTCTTCCTGTTAATATTTTCCTACTTTTATTTTTAAAATAAAAAAATTTAAAAAAATAAAATAAAATGTAAAATGAAAGATGGCTAATAGAAATTAGGGAGATAGATCTCTCTCAAATGGGAAGGTGATCAAGAGATGGGGGAGGGAGCAGGGGAGGGAAAGGGGATCAAAAAGGAAGGATGATGCATCCCTTGCATACACCCACTCCACACAAGGAGTGCAGACCTGAGGCACTGCAATCATGTACATAAAAAAAAAGACACCAAGAGTGGATTTTCACATCTTCAGAGTTAATTTGTAACATTTTAAGAATTCAGGTTTCCTAAAATTTTCATGGATTTCTTTTACCATTTCATAAGTGACTGTTTTCTCCTAGTGCATATTAACTTACAAGCATTAAAAGGTTAAGAAACATTTATCTGGGGGCTGGGGATTTAGCTCAGCGGCAAAGCGCCTGCCTGGCAAGCGCAAGGTCATGAGTTCGGTTCCTGGTACCGGAGAAAAACAAAAAAAAAAAAAAGAAAAGAAAAGAAAAGAAAAGAAACATTTATCTGAAAAAAAGGTAATGAATACAATTCCACCATTTAATAGAACAAAATTTGCTTGGGAAAAAAAACCACAATTATTTAGTTTGTGTTTGGTGCTTAGTTCGCTTCGAAGATCACTGATGTTACACAAGATATAAGAACTGTGAATTATTGCTATTAATAACTTACAGACTTCATGAAGTATGTTGATTCTTTATGCTTTGCATTTTTCCAGCATTCATTTGAAATTATTAGCTAATTTATTTTTATGTTTCTTATGTTCCTAATTTATTTTTTTTGTAACTGATCCCCCTTTTTTTGAACATAAACCAGTTTTTTGGGAAAATCTTAGAAAATCTGAATAAATGTGCAGCTTTGCAATGTAATAAATCCACTCTGGCCCATGTTAAAATAATGATGTTCTAGGTCATCAGACTTTTCCTGCGAGCCACACGGTAGGGGAGAGAGTCAAAGCCGGGCAGGGAACAGAAAGAAGTGCCCAGAAGAATCAGGGGCGGAAGGCAGCTCACTGTCATCATCTTTGATAAGTCATAATTGACTGTTTCATATGCGCATCTTGATTCATGTTGCACACAGTCTGGGGAGGAACAAAGCGAGCATGAAGTGTTCAAATTTAACTCTTTTAGATAACTGAATTTCTATTCAGAGTACCAAAAAGTGAAGTCAGTTCTGGTTCTCAGCTCCTTCACACTGGCTGAAAAGCACAGCGGGGCAATCCGGCCGCAGGCAGATGTGTGTCAAGTGCAGGTCTTCCCTGGCCGATGAGGGAGGAAGGGCGAAAAACTGCTTCCTACAGACACCAACCTTCATCTCAGAGATGTGCCGTGACGCGCACAGCTCTTTGCTGTATGTCAAGAACTGGTAATGCTACGCGCCTCCTTTATCTGCACACACTCATAAACACTTACATGTGGTTAAGTCAGGAATTTGATCATGTCTGAGGAGAAGGCTTTTACTACGTCCCCAATTTGCTGCACTAACACCAAGCTATTAACAAAATCACAAAAGGGAAAATATCCCCACCTTGTGGTAACTAAAATAAAATTGTTGATGTTCATTTTCCAAGCTAAAACTCTTGAACAGTAATTGATAGTACATTACCTCTATTTTCCTGATAACAAAACTCTCACAGAATAAAGGTAATTTCACCCCGTACGTCCTTTCAGTCAGTAAAGCTGAGATAAGCTACTTCTATTGTCCGTAGAACAGTAACATTTGTATGTTCGGATCCATAAAGCTAAGTCAGCACTAAGAATTATGTTACTATTCCTCCACTACATTTCAAGGAATTATTTCCCCATTGTTATACATACCGCAATAATGAGCCCATTGGGTCCATTTAGGTTATCAACCCAACCCTAAAAAAGAAAAGATCTCTGTGGGTTACATGTTGCAGAAAATCACTGTGTCTTTGGAACATCTATAGTTTAATCTTAATACATTTCAAACCAGAGCACGGAGACCCCGGCTAACAGTACACAACACTAATGCAGTATTTCTGAGATGCCCAAAAAAGATCAGTGGCAAAGCACTTGTTACTTTCTGTACCTCACCTAGCTTGCAAACTATAAACTTTGTTGGCATTGATTTCATACCAATCTCCTCTTGCTTTATATCACCTTATGGGCTAAATTTAGACTTTGTCTTAATATTATGATCTGCTAACCAATTCATCGAACATTAATTTTTCTCCATCTGAGCTTTGATTTTAAGCTCTCTCAAAACATTTCACACATGATTTATAGGAATTACTCACTTCTTGAACATTTCACATGAACAGAGTCCATACAACATATGTTTTGGTGAGGGTGTGTGGTCAGCCTGCTGGAGATGTCAGGGGAAAGATGATGTTTAGGGATAATAGGGGGAAATGTCTTTTGGAGTCTATTTCCTAAGCTCTATGCAAATCTGTTTCTTCATCTATAAAAATCAAAATGTGTATGCATAATGGGAGTGAGGAGAGGAGAGAGGAGAGGAAGGGTTTAGTCTTTGTCGATCCTGTTACTAGGCCCAAGCACTTCAAACACTGCTCAAGCGCTGTCTCATTTAATCAGTTCTCCAACGCTAAGTTGTACTGGCCCAGGTTTATGTGACACAATTCAAAAGACTGTGCTGCTCGGATGTGTTGCAGGACTCTGGCTTATCTGGCCCTAGAGCTTCCCAGAGTTGCTTTGAGAGAAACGGTATAATTGAAAGTACCTTTCAGAAGGTGATAGCAGTATACATAGGTACAAGTTTATTATTCCTAACCTGAGAAGCTGTGAGCTTTGTGTACCCTGCTTACCCTGGCAGCTGTAATACCACCAACTTGACAATAAAGAGCATTCTGGCACATTTAAATGAGAGTTCGAAGGTCAAGTAATGAAATTATCTCCCATGGGAATCTGGGGACTAGTTAGTTAATAGTATTGAAGATCTCCACCCAGCTCTAGGTCACTCAGCGTAATCCTGAAAGGGGGCTCATGCCAACTAGAGTCTGAATCAAACATTGACTTTTGCCACCATATAATGGATTCGCTTTTGATTTGCTGCACTCAGCCACAAATCCCAAGGAGAAGTGGATGGAGGCCGGGAGGCATCAAAAAGAAATGGAGCCAGAAGGGTCTGGTTTGCAAGCAACACACCAACTCCACAGAGCAGGCATACCGGGAAGGGCTCCTGCCAGGTGGCGCCCACGATGGAGGGTCTGATGATGGCGATGTTCATGTTCGCGCCTTCCTGCTGCACCACGATCTCTCCCAGGGCCTTGGTGTAGGTGTAGGTGTTGGGTCGGTCCCCAATCAGCTTGGGAGTGATCTCATCAATGATGGCATCATCCAACCACCTGAAGGCAAAGAAAACGAGTTGGAGTGACATGCTACACAACAGAATGTAGAGAAAACACGAGACACATAGCTTTCATCTTCTAGTGCACACGACAGGTTACCAAAGATGAGTGTGCACCTGTTCAAGCCATCACAAGGCAGGAGTTGTTTGCTATCTTCCGCAAGCCACTCTAGTCAAACCCTACTTTCCCCCACCAAATTAGATGGACAGATGATAGATGGATAGATGATAGATAGATAATAGATGGGCAGATTGATAGATGATAGATGGATAGATAGATGATAAATTGATAAATAGTTGATAGGTGGCTAGATGATAGATCTATGGATACATAAATGATAGATGATTGATAGATGAAAGATGGATAGATGATAGAGGGACAGATAGATGATATATAAGACAGAGGCAGATAATGATAGACAATATATGATAAATGATAAATGACAGATGATAAATACATGATAGATGATGGACAGATGATAGATGACATATAAGAGATGATACATAGATGATAGATAATAGGTAGATGATAAATGACAGATATAGATATATGACAGGCAGATAACAGATTGATAGAAGATTGATAGATGATAAATGGTAGGAGACAGATGATAGGTGATAGATATATGATATACAGATAGATGTTAGATACATGATAGATGATAGGTATAGATTGATAGATGGATAGATGACATAAATAGATAGACTGATAGACAGTAATAGGTAGAGGATAGATAGATAGGCATAACAGATAAACAATCTACTACTTCTAACATATAACCTCTAATTACCCTCACTTCTCTGATGGGTTTGTAAGAGCTCACATTGCACACATGCTCGACCACCACACTTGCACCCAAGTACTGCCATGTGCCAGGCCCTGGCGCTGAGGTCCGTGTCTATGGAGTCTCACGACAGCCCACACACCCAGGGAGGTCCCGTGAAAACCCAGTGTGCGATCTTGAAGGCGAGAGCCTTTCATTTGTAAAATTTCACTCAGTGCCTTGACAAGCAGAGCAACTGTGGCAGAGTTGTAATCTGCTTAAGGAAATCTATGAAATGTATTTTGAAGGTTTGTTTGCAGTTGAAGATAATAACCAGTAATTATTTCCAGAGATTTCTAGTGAACACTGTAATCTAAGTGGAGTGGTTACAATAATCTGAAGCAGCGTAAGTAGCGTGATTGCTGAGCACTCCTACCAAGACGGGGCGCCGTTGCAAATTTCACTGTTAGCACAGCAGTACCTCATGTACAGAAAAACATGTCACAACCATTTTGACCATCCCAAGTCTATCTACACTTCTTTAAAAGAGCAATGAGTTATTGTCAGTTAAATATATAATGTTTATCTTAGCAGAACTATTTGGTTAAATGATGGATATAATACAACTTTTTAAAAAAACTAGGCTGCCTGAATGTGTTTGTGTGAATTTTGTAACTAATGTATTTGGTACATTTATTCCTACTTTATGGGACAGAACATAACCAAACTGTTTTGATTGCGGAAAATCTTAGCTGTCACTGATTTGCTGACAAAATATTGAGCACTTATTCAGAATCATGTCTCCCAGTTGTAGTAACTCATCTGATACTGAGGTAGAACATAAAGACTGGCTATAATCTCTTAGTTTTTCTTGCTTTGGTTCTGTTAGTGCTAAGTATATTCGGGTCACTCAAATGCCTCTTAAGTTGAATAAAAAAGGTTTAAAATTTTGTAGAATACAAACCTCCAAAATACATATAGAAATAGAGAATATTTCAATTACAGAGCCACTTAGGGGTGGGGAGACAGTGTGGGACGATGCAAGGACCCTGCGCCTTTACAGTAATGCAGTTATTGTCAGTCGCTAGGACTCCAGGACCCCATAGGTACCAAATCTGTGGATACGCAGGTTTCCTGTAGAAGATGCTGTAGCAGTTGGATATAACTTATGCATATCCTTGTACGTAATTTAAATCACCTGTAGATTACTTCTAATACCTAGTACAATGTAAGTGCTATATAACAAGTCATTATTCTGTATTTTTGGGGAATAACAAAATTATTGGAAAGTGGACTTTCCAAGAGGAAAGTCTGTCTGTGTTCACTGTAGACATGATCCCTCTCCTAATATTTTTGACCAGAGGTTGGCCGAATTCGTGGACAAGAGACCCACAGATTCGGAGGGCCAACTATGCTCACATAGGTTCATCTTTCCTTGCCGGCTATTAAATGGTCGACTGACCTAAGGTCATTTTCTTCTACCTGTGAAAATGTATGCCCTGAATTTTTGCTGTGAAATATGGCAATGCTTCTACCTATCCTAACGTCTCAGGGTGTCATGGGGACAGACAGGAATAAGCACAACTGCACATAAAGCTGCTTGACAAAGCACCGTGAGTCAGTGCAACTAAGGCTTGTTTGCTTGCTTGTGGTACTAGTGATTGACCAGGGCCTTGTGTGTGCTAGGCACGACCCTACCTAGGAACTGAATTCCCCAACCCAGTGGAACTGTTCTTTTTAAA